AAGAATGGCTGTGGTCTGAGGGGTGAGTGAGGGGCGGAGACGAGAGGAGGTGAAAGAAGGCACAGCGGGTGATGTTGTTGATGACACCCAGACTCTTAACTTGTGTGAAAGGAAGGTCAGGGGAGTCGTTAATGAAAATAGAAAAAAATCGTTACATTTGGAGAGAGTGGAGGGGGTGCCTACAAGGAGGACTTTGAGAAATGAGCATAAGAAATAACTAGATAATGTGGGATATTTTTGAGTGGAGTTTACATGTTCTGTTTCTCATATGAATTTGAACAAAAATCATCGGTTTGTAAATGTTTTCAGTTTCTTTGTAATATGCCGATTGTGATTGTGAGAAGCAGTGGGGTATGGCGGGGGTTGAGGAGAACCATTAAAATCCCACACGAAGACACAGATCCATCCAAACGAGGAAGGAGAAGGCTTATATCCACCGGTGAGGAGAGAAGCCAAAATGTGTGACCGACTTAAGTTAAGGCTGGTTCACACGGCAGGATATCTCGCCTTTTGACAATCTTAAGGAAGTCCGATAACCGCACAAGTTACTCAAGCTGTGTTCAGACTGCTCTCCTTCGAATTTGATCCTTTAAGTTTTAAGTTTAAGTTTTTATGAATGAATGAATGATGTTACATACACATTACATACAGTGAAATACATGTGCACCTTTCAACAGACATATCATAGCTGGTTTGTTTTTTTTATCTCACACTGGATAGAAATAGATCTTGCTTGATAGATTCCCATGTCACTATTTATGCCGCTGTTTGTCGGCTATGGAGCTCAGTATAAAGACCAGGGGCCGTATTCCTAAAGATTCTAAGAGTCCTCTCAGAGAGCTCCTATCTTACCCTAAAAACTCCTAGCTAGGAGTCTTAGCTTAAAAGTTATTCCAGAACACTCTTAGAGAACTTTGAGCAAGGAATTGACAACAACTTTTATCTTAGTGAGGAGGCGTGGCCGACCCCGTTGCTAGGTATGAGTCATCATTTCAGACGCTGTGATTGGTTGATCTTAAAAGTTAGTAAAAACATATTTTTGATGATAATGGGCAAAATAAGGGCCCTAAAATGGACAAACTCAATCATGGAATCTAATCTTAGGAATACTGTGTTATTGTAAATAATAACCAAACGCTATAAAGTCAGATATATCAATGGTGCATAAATACTGTGAATAGTAAGATAGACTTTTACACCACATCATCAGAGCTTGCTCAGCACCAATTTCTAACAAATACATAGTACGTATATATCATGAGCACTTATAATTTTATATTATATATATATATATATATAATATATATATATTTATGTATATATACATACAATTTAAATATTACTCTATATATAATATACATGAAAAAGAAAATTATTATTATAAATATTATATGGATAAATGATGATAGTGATAACGTTAGGATTAGTAAAGGCTGTGATACTGACAGACGTATAAGGCATTAAGGAAACAATATTAATACAAACATATTATACATACAATGTACAAATCAAGTACAAGGGAGTTTAAAAGTCTTAACCTCTCTCACTCCTTTTTGAGCTGGATTGTTGTTAATAAAACAAAACTGTGTATTTGTACTTCTATTCTGTTGTTTTGTTTGTTTTTGTCCTTTTTTCTTGTTTGCCATGGCTCAAAATAAAGTATTCATTCATTCGTACTGAATGTGTGAAAATGTAGGCCCACTTGTACAGTATTAACGCAATAATAGTTACATTTACTTGCTTTTATTATTACCATGCTGGTTATTTTCTCTCTTTCAACTTTTGTGTAACAAGGGTAAAATGGATGAGTTGTTATTGCTGACCAGCCTATAAGAAGCTGGTCACATGATTGACTTTTAAATATTACAGAAGCATAATTCCTGCTCGACTCAATCTGTAGCGTTTCACTGATTCACTGTCATCCAGTGTATAGAATATTTCTCCTGTCTCCACCGTCCACCATTTTGAGCTCTTAGGGAACTTTTAAGTCGCTAAAAGTCCACCTCTCAACTCTTAAGGGATCTCCCCTTAGGAGCACTCTTAAGAGCTAGGATTCTTTAGTTATAGCTTTTATCTTAACTAGGAGCTACTCGTCACTTTTAGGGGAAATTCTAAGAGTTGGTCAAGATTCTAAGAAAATTCTTAGAATTTGGCCACTAGGAGCAACTTTTAGCACTAAGAATCTTTAGGAATACGGCCCCAGAGGCTTATGTACATTCTGAAAGCTTATACTTATATGAAAGACACAGCCGATTCCTGTATGTGTGAAGATTTACCATAACCGCATCATCAAATGTCCCCTAAATGAAAAACAATTTTTTTTACCCTATTTTCAAACACTATGAACTCATGTCTTCTAAATAAGCTGGCCAGCACCAACAGACTTAGAGCCCTTGTATTGTATTTTTTTATTCCTGTACTTTTAATACTGATGCCTTCCTGTACTTGTCTTGTGCACACTGTGGACTTTGGCAAATGTATTCCGATGTGGTTTTACTGCAAATAAAAGCATTATAAAATAAAATCTGAATCTGACTTTTGGGGGTGGAGTGGGGATGTCTGGGATTTCTTAATGACAATCTATGAAATACGTATGCATATATGAAAAATTATATTAATAGATTGTTGTTAATAGATATGAATTGGTTGTGAAACTAATACATACAAAAATGCTAATATACAAAAAATACATAAATATAACAAAGAAATGTAACATAAAATTGAGAAAACAAAAGGGTCCTACTTATACAGTCTGCGGCACATGAATCACTGCTGTATGACTGGGATGAAAAGAGATTAAAATCAAACTGTCCTATTCCTATGGCAATCTGCTTTTTTGGTGAAATCGTAATTGAACCACGATAAAATCTAAATTACGAACCAGCTCCAAGATAAGCCGGCCGCACACGTACCGCGTTTCTGAATAATGCTATTTTAAGAGGTGATATAAAGTGGACCACAGACGGTTATGTCTCTCACGGCCAAAGACTCCGACAGTAGCGGAGCTCAGGGGGAAATGTGATAAAAGCAAAGAACAGAGCAAATTCCACATCATGGAGCAGAGAGTCAGGAGTCAAACACTCAGGATACTTCTCATGCCTCTTGTTTCAAAGAGAAGGAAGAATACATTATGCTAATTACATCCAACCGTAAAGACCTCAATTATAAGCCCTGTATTATTCACAGATGATAATGAGCCTGTTACAGTAACTATAGAGGGAATTATGAATTAAATGTCTGCACTATTTGTACAGAGCGGTCGCTATGGCAACGGGGGCCACGCATTGAAGAGGTTCTGCAGCTGCACACGACAAATAGTTGACGTGACGTGTGTCGTTACAAATAATCGCTTAAGAGAATTGCTTTTTGGGCCACACCACCTCCTCCCCCTTCCCCTTCAGAGGATCCTGCGGCCGACTTTGATGGTGGAATAATAATCTTGGGCAAAAACTGTTGTCCGCAGTTTCGGAGCCAAGACATCCAGGTGCAACACTGGGAAAGTTACATTCAGCTGACACTCAATTAGAATATTGTTTATAAGTCTATCTGATTTTAAATTTCAATATACAATGTGGAAAAACTCAAACTAAAAAATCTCCGAAAATGTGAATATGTTGAAAATGGATCTTCAACATTGATTGATTTGATTTATTTAAAGCTTATAAAATGGAATACAATATGGAATTTACAGCAATTAAATATTATACATGATAGAAACATGCGTATGTACATGAACATACATGCAGTGTTGTGCCAGTTCACAGCTTTTCTGAACTAGTTCAAGTTCAGTTCATACATGCTCAAAGTGAACAGTTCACGTTCAAAGTTCACATTTTTAATTCTGAACTAGTTAAAAGTTCAGTTAATTTTACTTTTTCCGTGAAATAGTCAAATAAATACTTTTTTTCACACTACGAGCTATATATATATATTTGTGTATGTATGTATGTATATATCTCCTGTACACCCACAGGAGGAGAGCCTTTTGACTACAAAACAGACAAGATTTACATGGTTTTCAATGGGAGCATAACGGAGTTGCTCCATCTCTGCTCATAAACCACAGACAGTAATGCGCTGCAGTGCGTGTGTCTATACTTTATGTCAAATGTAAACTGTGTAAACTTTGTCGCTAACTCACCCTGTGTTTTCATCACGACTTGGGCACATGTGAAAAGTACCAGCTCAAAGCGCCGCGCCGCAACACGGAGTCGGGGTGCGTTCACAGACGGTGGAAACCGTAGGAATTTTTAGATTTCAGCGGAAAAAGTGCGAGAATACAGGAGGGAGGAACTTTCTCTCGTTGCATTTCAAAAGAGAAAACAGATTCCAACATTCATAGTGATGTCTGCCGTTCATGACACATAAAATGAACTAATTCACGTTCAAGTTCTTTTTTTTTTTTTAAATGTGTTGCGTTCAGTTCAACGTTCACAAAAAACTGAGCGTGTTCAATGAACGCGTTCTTTTGAACTCGTTCACACACAACGCTGCTTTTTAACATCACAGCCAGGGGACTACAGATGAAAAATAGCCTCCTTGGCTAATTCTGGCTTTTTTTAACTCATGTTTTATCATGTGTTTTATTAAATTGCATTGTCCCCCTTTGAAATAAACTAAACTGAAACTGAAACATGTGTTTTTGTTTCATACTTGCTCAAAAAGGAGTGGGAAGAAGTCAAGCTCCCACCCCATACACCTGAATTCACCTAATACGGTTGAACATAGCCTCACACACACATATACACAAATGTACACACACACATACATATGCATACATACACACATATAAATACATATACACAAATGTACATACACACAGATACGTACAAAAACCACCGTGATCGTTATCATGCAACGAGTCTATACAATATGTTGGTTTCACATTATACGTTCAAATACATAAATAAATGAACTTTTGAACGATATTCTAATGTTCCCAGTTTCACCTGTAGCTCCAGATTTGTTTTATTGTTTTTCATTTGAGTCTCTTTCTGTACCTTGTAAGAGCGAGACACGACCTCCTCACAGTCAGAGTCGCTGTTGTATGGGTCATCGCTGGTCGTCCAAGACAAAGTCCCGTCTCTTTTCCACACGTCGCAAATAGGTGCATCTCTGGGAACCTGCAGATCAGCAGCAAAACGACTCAAAATGTGCGAAGGGAAATAATTATAAGTGGAAAAGGTGTGAGAAGAGCTCTGGTGTGTGCTTTCTGGTCTGTCTGGTGCACACTGGGGTCTTACAGTGTTACAGACCAAGTCCATGTCCCAGGGCCCAGGCGAGGCTAAACTCTCCTTCCATTTCGACCTCCATCCGATCAATGTGTCCCGCCGCACCACCTCACTTTTTATTATAGGCCTTTTTCTTTGTGATTAGAATAAGGTTTCCGTTTGCACATTTATATTTTTGTGTAGAATAAACTTCCTGTCTGTGTTCCCTGCCCGGTATATTAGTTATTGAGCCACCCTCCTAGACACTACCATCTGTGGCTCGTAACACGCAAATGGCAAACAAACCCACTCTGAATCAAATGAATTACCATCGATTTGGCTTCAGACTAAAGTATGTGTGAACAACTTCAATTGCATCATGGGTTTTAGACGCTACACATTGCATTATCATCTCCATGTGCGGTGGCGTTAACCTGCAGCTGTAGCCACGGCCGTCTCACTGAAGTTCTCCTGGAGTTCTCAGCGGTCTCCCATCACAGTACTAACCAGACCTTCTCGAGGACATGACTGCTGTACTATTGCATCACTGTTGATTCTTTGGCATTTTGAAAAACCAGCACAAATATATTGGCAGCTTCAAGAAAAGAATAAGATTGATTCACTTTTCTTTGTAAATCATGTTTATCTGCTTTGTCTTTTTGATTTCGTTTCAATCATTTCTAGAGGCAAGGCCAGTTTTTTGTATGGCAGGTAATACTCAAGGCAATTAAAAGTACTTAACAAAACATAATAAATACAAGGCATGAATAATAAAAATAGATTAAAAAGAGTAAAAATATCTAATCCTTCAATTGTACGCACAGCTAAACAACTGTTTTTAACCTGGATTCAAACATTTTCAGAGTTGAAGCCCGTCTCAGTTTTAGGAAGACTGTTCTAGATCTTAGCATAAATCTGAAATACTGTCTCCCCATGTTAAGTCCTGTCCCTGTGCTTCTCAGAGCATTGTGGGAGCAGATCCCTCCCTCAATGTGGGCCTCCTCAAGGTTTCTCATCTGTTCTGATTCTCTGATCTGTGTTGGCAAATCGACAGCTTTGTAGGGAGTGATTTATACCACAAAGAAAATAATTTGATTGAGTTCCAACAGGTGGCCAGTCCCTGTGCTCCTCAGAGACACTTCATATGACACTAACAGGTCGCGGATGGATATAGTTTATAGATTTAATGCTTATTTAATGATGGATTCCAGGAAGACAAAATTGGTATTCACATCAAATAAACCAAATCTTGTATCATGAGACTTTATCCCCTTTGCGGATCTTTTTTTCACAAAATCTATCTCAAAAAGCTTAAAGCACAACTTGTTTTATCAGGATTACAAGGCCTCTTTACCTCTTCCATGATCAATATGCCACAGCGCACCAGACTGTCAACGGCATCCAGCGCAAAACTGTGGGAAGACTGACAGGGCTGCGGAGAAACGGGGAGAAAGGGAACAACAGATAAGTTCAATGCAAGAGCAAGGTTATAGTACAGACATCACAGAAGACAGCTGCTGGGGGAAAGTGGACCACAGGAAACAGGAGGAATTAAAGATGTATTATTCTGTGAGGAGAAGGCTGCAAGAACACTCCACAAAAAAGATTGTTATGAGATGTAGGGAAATGGAAAGAGGAGAGATAGAGAGAGAGACAAAGAGCGACAGAGGCAGAGAGAGAGAGAGAGGGAGACCGAGAGAGCAACAGAGAGCAAGAGAGCGACAGAAACAGGCAGTGAGATACAGAGAACGAGAGAGGCAGAGAGCAAGAGAGACAGACAGACAGACAAAGGCAGAGAGAGAGACACGAAGAGAGAGAAAGAGAGACAGAGATAGTGAGCGAGAGACAGAGAGAAAGAAAGAGAGAGAGACAGAGAGAGAGGGACACATTTCTGGTTAAGATTAAGAGCTGTTCACATGGGTCAGGTGTTTTGCGACATCTCACAATATGAAAAGCCCTTGAAGATTTTTCTCCAGGTTCATTAGAAATCCTCCAATCGGAACACGAGTGATATGAATTTCAACGTACTGGCATGAAGCCCGGAGGCAGGAGATGGCATAGCTGTAGGGCTCTGTTGGTGAGCTCGGTCTGGCACAGAACCACGTCAAACTCATGGTCGCCTTTTCCCTCGTCCGTGTCGCCGCGGTTACTCACGCCACTGCCAGCCACGTCGCTCAGCATCGCCGACACTGCACAAGCTGGAGGCAAGATGCACAAATGTGTGGTTGATTGTTCGTTATCTAACAGTATCAAATTTACAACCCACACATTTTTTAAATCAACTGATGCAGAATGGATGAAATGTAGTGAATGGTGAGGTGTGGTTGATAGAGAATGAATGGAAGCACTTTCATTTTATATATTTTAATTAATTTATCTTTAACCAGGGAATGCAGATAGCATCGAGCTATACTCTTATAGAGATATGTTCAAAACATATGTCTCTATTTGAGCCAAAAGTATATAGATGTCTAATGCTAACTGCTAACCTTGGCTCCCATTGACTTGATAAGATAACCCTTTATTAGTCTCACAATGGAAAAGTCAACTCTAGCTCTGTTATCATTGGAGTCTCATTCATAATTTTGGGGTAAAAAAAGTAAATGGTTTAAAGCTCTTTGTGAACCTGGTGTTTTAATTTGGGTATTGTAAATCCAGATATGCCCTGACAACTGGCCAATCAGCGAGCAAGGACAAACCAGCTCCGCTCCTGAAGGTTGCTCGGCCATTGATACCAAGAGCTTTCCAGAAATGTAGAGAAATTTGGCTCAACATTCCAGCTCAAACAGCCTGTTCGAGTTAGCTCTAATTGGAAAGGCCAAATAAAAGTCCAGACCTTTATCTAATTGAGAACCGGTCAAAAGAAAAAAAATCTAATCTATTTGCATTTGAGGAATGGGAATAATTTTCAGTCTCAAGATGTGTAAGACTGGTGGTGACACCCCAACAGACTTGCATCTCTAATTGCAGCAAAAGCCGGTTCCACAAAGATGCCCTTGCACACCCAGCTTTTAGTTTTTTATTCATACAAAAGTTCAAAATCCCTGTGTGAACCTTAGTGTTGGTCTTTCACATGAAATTTCAATCAATTATAATTATATTTGTGGTCTGAGTATAGCAACATTTAAACAGGGGTGACTGGGTGCAGAACCCACTATATAGATGAACATGGGTGGAATTACGTACATTGAAAACAAGCTAATAACTAGAGGCTCGCTTGCATATTGTTCCTATTAAATTGAAACGCAGAGCAATGAGTCATACACATACTTTATCTGTATTTATACAGAGAGAGGCTCAATGAGAGACAGACTTATTTATGAACGCCCTGTCATAGTATACAAACAAACAAAACAAAAAATACAATAATAACAGACTGTTTATTCAATTCTAAAACTTCATTATTAAAATGTGAAAGTGAAACCAGAAAGTTTATGTAAGGTAGAACTAGGGATGCACAGATTGGGAAATTTTGGGCCGATATTGATGCATTACCTCATATTATTTTTGTATTCATTACAAAAATTCAATCCATTTCCATGCAGTGAATTGGGATATACGTCCTTTTGAAGAAAAAGTAGCGCAAATTTGTGCTGGCGTGTCATTTAATTTTAGATTGAATTTTCGTGCAACAAGGAAGATAATTTGTACCGGGACCAGATTGTGACCAATCACAGCGGACCACTGGCCCCCACTTTCTTGAGAAAAGCAACAGACAGCTGAGGTAAACACGCGGAGGAGGCAAACCTGAAGCTGCTTACACAGCGAAACAGCCAAAAGAAAGTCTCGTTCCTTACCGCGCTTACCGGTTCTATCATTCTAAGGTTCCCGGTTCTAATCTAAGTTCAAATGTGCGATCCATATTTTGAGATGCGAGCTCCTTAAACGACGAGCAGAGGCTTGGGGGGGGGAGGGACTAAAGCTCCGTGAGTGTGGGGAGGGTAAGCAGAGAGAGCGAGCCCAGCGCTCAAATTCGAAAATGAGTTTGTGCAGCTTTAATATAACTTGGCAGACGTCCTTTTTCTTTTATTTATTGGCGGCTTCAGTTTTCCGTTTTTCTTCAGCTTCATGCTTTCGCTGTGCACAGCCTCATGCTTCTCAAATGTCCAATGAAATCCTTTGTTAAATAATTTTCTGGCAGTCCCTCCTAGAAATCTCACTGAACATGTTTTGCAAACTGCATAACACTGATCTTTTTCTGATACTGTAAAATATTGCCACACGACCGCCGCCATCTTCTTTGTTTCTTCTTCTGAGGAAAGTGTGCGGACGCAAATGGCTCTGTCCCATTGGCAAATCTTGTTTTAACACAGTCAGAATGTGCTCCGATTAAGATAAACAACAATCAATTCAAGCTATTATGACCTCATACCAAGACAAAGACATTGCACATAAACTTCCATATAGTTTTGTAGCACATAATTACACAAAACAATTGTTTCATTGCTACATGAACCCTAAATCAGCGCTGTCAAACCAGTCCTCAAAGAGCCAGTGTGGCTGCAGGTTTTCATTCTAACCAAGCAGGAGCAACACCAGACTCCACCCACTTCCTCACATCTTCCAAGAATGACTGGACTCACTTGATGAAATGGGAAGGAGTCTGGTGTGCTCCTGCTTGGTTGGAATATGTTTATAAGCCTCTCTTAATGGCCCTGAGTAGTGTAGATTGCCTTTCCACGATAGCTAAGTATTTCATTAGCTATTTCGGAAACGCAGTAAGTATACATGTAAGTCATCTTTATTTATGTAGCGCCTTTTGCGGACAGAGTCACATAGCGCTTTACAATTTTCCTCTCATTCCACACAGTGATAGAAGCAGCGCCCGGGCTATTGTACATGTTTTTTGGTGGTAGGGGAAACTGGAGCACTTGGAGGAAACCTACACAGACAGGGAGAAGACATGTAAACTCTGGAGGTTGAATTGAACCAAAGGCTGTCTTGCTGCCTCTAAAATTACCATATAGATATAGTGCCCTTTGTATGCATTCAATAACTTATTTTGATTCATAAAAGTGTGGCTCACGGAATATATATGTTTTTGTCTGTTCATATCTGGTTTTTTCATCTCTATGGACCTTTGTGTATCGAAATAAAGCCTAACAATAATATATAATAGAAAATGTGTTTAGTGTACTAGTTTCCAGTATGTTTTCCCTGTGGACATGAGCTCATATGTTGAACTGCACATTTTTCAAAAGTCCCAGAGAGAGAGAGAGCGAGAGAGCTCTCTGTCAGATTATTATTCTGCAATTTAAATTCGACAGATACATTTCCACTGTACTTTGTAATCTAATAATGGACTTCACATAGGTGCTGAGGAAGAGAAGACAGCACTGGGGTACTTTATTTTAATACCACAATAAATTTAATGAAATAAAAATCACTAGTTCCTATCTCTGAACTCATTTGGGTTCTATCTAGTTTGAGTGGATTTGATTTGCCTCCGTCATATCTTTAGATCATATTTTTTAGATTTGATCATAACGTTTTACTTTGACAAAACTCTTTCTGTTTTGGGACAAACAAAATGTGTCATTGATAGAACAAAACAGGTTATGTACCTCAGCTTTTAGTCCCAGAACAAATCAGCTCTATTTGACGCAACAATTGGACAAACTGTGACATCACTAGTTTGCTTTTTTTCTTGCTAGTTTTATGTTTGGCAATATCCCAGGTTTCTTTATTGGTGCCCGCAGACCAAGAAGATTCTCTCATCAAAACCAAAGAGCCAATCAGGAGTGAGGCTGGTCTGTAGCGGTAGAAGGCATTTGATGTTAAAACTAGGTAATAACTGACTTTAGACAGGATCTAATTCAAAAGAGCAGGATCACATAGAGCAGGCAATACCAAACCAAGCCCCGAGGGTCAATTGTGGCCCTCTGTGTCAAGTTATGTGGCCCTCTGCCTTGCTAAAACAAATCACACATTGAGTTCACACTGTCATCCAGCCAACTTCAGCTCCACCAATATAGACAAGCTATACCTCGTTGAGAAGCTCAGAACCTTCTCAACAAGGTATATGTTGTCAGATTGTTTATCCTGTCATTTTGTTGACGGTGTCCCAAACCTCCACATATGGCGCTAGTGTAGCTGCCATATGAGTAAACTTCCGTCGATTGTGAATCTAAATGGATTTATCATACCTAATTTTAAAGCTCAGAACAGGTCGGTCCAGTCAAAGCTGCTTTACAATCTGGGTTGTCGGCTCCTGGACAAGTCTGGTTAAACAAAAATGGCCCTCTGACTAAAAGGATTGGACACCCCTGATATAGAACATTGCTCAAAACATTTAAAGCACAGAAGTCAGAAAAACAGCATTTCTTTTTCACAGAAAGTGAATGGAAAAACTTTGCCCATGAGCAATATTAGGCTTCATCAAGCTAGCAGGTTAGCGCTTTCCATCCCTATATACAGTCTCTCAGTCTGACAGCAGCCTCAGGTAGGGACACAAAAGCACTAATGAAAAGTGAATCAGAGCCAATAGGGCTGTCCATTCCCATTACAGTCCTTGGTCCAATAGGATTCTGAGAGCAATCTTACAAGATCGCTTTTGTTTGATTCTAACTGTAATCTGGCAGTAAAACCAATATAATTTGACTTTTTATGGACCAACGGCTCTATGTTATTTTTAACCTTTAACATGTTACACACTTGCACATGTCCTTGTGCACAATCTGAGTGATTCTATCTATGCTAATGCGACAGGTAAATTTCTCCATTGTAAAGTTTATCTTATCTTATGTGTTTTTATCATTGCATTTATTATATCTGAACTGTATGATTCTCTGATCTGTGTTGGCAAATTTGACGTTAATTCCTCAGACATGTTGTGATTTAGGGCTATACAAAAATGATTGAATCGACTTGCGTTAATTGACAAAACAGCTGAATATGTCCACATATAAACAGCAGGAGGGAAGTTTGGGATCTGCTTTTGTGCAGCTATTTCTTATCCAACTTGTGCACAGAAGTTTTATGCGCATTTCTCAACAAGGAAAAATCATTTCCTGTGGTCGCTCTGGCCGCCTGTATGCCGTCCCTATATTAATATTAGCAGATCGCATTTTATCTCACGCAGGGGCATATTTTAATGGCTTCAGCAGTACACAGCCCACTGCCCACAAGCTCTTCATCCAGTGAATCATGCAACAACAAAGACCATTTTCAACAGAGGATACAACCTCACGCTCTTCAAAATATCCCCTTTTATTTTTTTATTCTCACTGACGACAAAGTTAGCCCAGCACTCATATTTCAAGGGAGCGGCTGTTTTCTGCGAAGCTGGGAGGCTGAAATGCAGGACATAAATTCAACATCCTCCATGACTTACTGATATCCTTGCAGAGTTACCTTGGAATAATTTCTTTTGAAAACTTAAGAGTTGCCACGGGAAAAAGATAATGTATTTGTTCACAATGATGAAATATACTCAAAGCAACCTTCAAAGTAGTTTACTAACACAATGTAGATACAAATGTTTTCAAATATGTCTCAAAAGGACAGTTTACGGCTTCAATGACTCAATTCAAATGCTATGGGAAATATTGTTGATGTTTCCTCTCTAGGTGCAGAAATAAATATTCTCCCCTTTTCTATGCATCTCAACGTTAATATATCATCAATATATTAATTTACTTCTTCTCACTCTTTTCGAGCTGTGTATAGTGTTTCTGGCATATGTTCTGTTTTATTACTCACATGAATTTCTGTTCAATGTAAAGCCTAGCGTACATCGACAGAGTAACTGGAGACAACTAGTTGCAAGGCGGCTTTTGGCAACTGAGAGTAGATGATGGAGATGATCGTTTTCCGAAATCGGTCGATGTAAGCGCTCTTACAACTGGAGATAAACAGTCGATCTCCGGATTCAGTCAGTTGCCCCTGTTCTACTTTTCGGCAACTAGTTGTCCTCAGATCCGGAGATATCACCCGATGTGCGCTCTCCAACAACATGTGTGTATTGCGCCCTTTACAGTTTATGTCAGAAAACACACTGTAGTTGCTGTCGATGTCCGCGCTGTTATTCTCCAGACTGGTCTGCTACGAGGAGTTGCCCGCTATCGCCAGATTGTCGATGTGTGCGGGGCAGCAACTCAAAGGTGACTGATATAATCAGTTGCCAGTCTGATGTACGCTAGGCATTAATGTATATAACAATGCATGTACATGTTTAAAAGACATTTGTAAGCTTGAATAAATCCTACAAAAAAGAACCATAATTGATATAAATAAATAAATACAGTTTGAAGAAGAAGTGCCACAGTCCATCTTAATAATTTTTTTCTATAATTTTTTCATGTTTAAGAAAGGGGCAGGCAACACAAGATTATTTTACTCTTTCTGCTTGTTTTCATTTGTGTGACAGGACTACAATTATTTTAAATGTAATTGTAATATGCAAAGTATTGTCACGTCCACAATTTGAATAATTGAGTGAATGAATAAATTAATAAAATAAATGTAGTTATACGAATATTTCATCTCAATTTTTGCATTTCGAGACTTAATTCAACTCACGAAATGTTTAAACAATTTGAAACAATTCTGTAAAGACTATAGACTTTTGGCTCCGTATCCAATGCTTAACAAATGCTGTTGGTGCATTATTAATTCAAACTTATTTAATTAATTCAATGTAATTAAATAAGAATAAAAAACAAATATGTAAAATTTTAATCAGAAAAAAAATCAATCAAAGACACTTTTTTTGCACACTCAGACATACTGATTTGCAAATTCTTTACACTTTCTTTACATCTATAACTTTTATCTTTGTGTTCTAGAGCCGCTACAACACAATTTCTTTCAAGGGTCAATGAAGTATTCTCCTTTTTGATACTAAACTTTTGAAAAAGGGCAAATGTCACCTTTATGGCCCTGAATGCAGCCCGTGAGGAGCATGTGTGTGTGAGATAAGGCTCACCTGCGACAGCCTCCATGATAAAGGCGTGAGTGACAGTCTGCGCCTGGACGCTGAGCTGGTGAGCGGCCGCCGCAGAGGCACGAGGCAGAATCAGAGGGTCCGTCCTGTAATAACAGTAAAGTTAAATCAGAGAGAAATCAGAGGGTTCATCCTGAAATAACAGCAATCAAGAGTAAATCATAAAGGTGACAAATCAGAGAAATCAGAGGGTCCGTCCAAGCCTGGTCGTACCACACCATAGTACAAATTACGTTTCGTACTAAGGTCTGGAGGTGCTCCATTGAGCTCCGTGAACAGGTGGGAGGGGTTAACTCCTTTTGCAGGTTGAAACGATTGGATCTGAGTTTACCGTGACGTTTGTAATGCGCCCGAGTGTGTTGTTAGCATTTAGCATTTAGCCTAGCCATCTCCTTTGCCGCTAACGAAGCCCGTGGGGAGTAGCTCCAAAATCTTTGCCAGCAATTGCATTTTCTTAACATTCTTCTTGCTCCAGCTTCAATTTCTTGATAGAACCAGACCTGAATACTTTACTATCTTATTATTCGCCATTGCCAAACTACAACCTGCTCGTTCGGCGCAAACGTTTGACGTCACCCACATCTAACTAACAACACCCGCCTCCCGCGCTCACTGAATGGTCAGAAGGAATTCAACCGATTGTAATCGCTAACACATGGACCAGACCCAGACGTTACATGCAGGGAAATGGATGGATAAGGTCAGGCCCGTCCTGAAAAAACAGAAAAATTAAATCAGAGAGAAATCAGAGGGTTCATCCTGAAATACAGAAATAAATCGTGAAATCAGAGGCTCTGTCCTGAACTAGCTTGAGCTCAATTCAATTCAATTTATTTTTGTATCGCCCTAAATCACAACAGCCGTCGTATCAGAGGACTTTACAAAGCTGTCAATTCAAACCGTTCAAAGAGAAAGGAAAAGTTTGAAATGTTAATAACAAAACACATCAGCGGGAAATCAGAAATAACAGAAATTAGAGTGAAATCAGTCGATCGCTGTCGAAGCCACAGACTGAAGGTGCCATTCATCACTGTCACAAAGAAGATCCTGTTAATGTCCCAAAGTGATGTTTCTAAAAGAGGATCTGGAAAGAAACTGAGCCGACAGTGCTGCTTCCTCATAAGCTGCTTTGGTACATTGGAATGAGCAAATGTAATCGAATACATTTTTGATTGACCTTAGACTATATCCACACGAAGACAAAACGCGTATAATTTCGGAAACTTTTTCTGTAAACACGGAGTTAGCTCAGTAAATGTGTGCGTCCATATGAATGTAGTCAATACGCCTGAAAACGCTGTGAAACTATGCCAGACCTGTTGGTGGCGCTGTGACGCAATGACGGGATCAAGCCCAAACTTCCGTGACGGGAACTGGGCATGCGCAGAATTTTGTAAACAGACAACATGGCGAGTGGGCGAGCTGGTACTACATTAGTATGGACGGACAATGAGGTTGAACTGTTGCTTCGGGTCGCACTGGATTACAAAACCAACAAGCTACAACAGGCATGTCAAAGTCAAATACATCAGAGGGCCAAAAAAACAAATTTGCTGTGAGCCGAGGGCCGGACTGGTTCAATGTTTATTAACTCATTGCCTGCCAGCCTATTTCAGAACAGGTACTCCCATATTGCCAGCAGTTTCTGATGATTTTTATAGATTTTTCAAGACCCGCAGAATATTGTGTACTATGACTATCTGAAATCTGAAACCAGATTCTGAAAGAATAGACTGTCTACTTTCATCAGCAAAAATAATTCTTTTTCTAGCTTGTAATCCCCAGTTGAGTAGAGGGAAGTTTTACTGAAATCACCAAAAAGCTGAGAAAAAAGAGGCACAACAAGTGCATCTAGCTGTTTTCAAACCATTCAGAGAGGGCTGCTGCCACCTGCTGGCTCAATTCAATATGCTCTCAAGCTTATCCCCAAACATATTAGATATAATCAGTGGCGGCTGGTGGAATTTTCTACTGGGGGGGCTATGAATATGATGACTAGATATATACCAGCAGTAAGTAAGTTTACACTGACTGTTGTGACTGAAGCCTCACACGAGAATGAAATATTTATCTTCCCAAACATAGCTAATTTGAGGGCATTTTGCATGTGGATACCAGTCTGCTCATGCTTCTTTGCCTTTTCTAAAAAGTGCTTCAGATCAGTCATACCTGTCTTGATCCATGCTGGGTCAGATCCTGATGTTTGAAACAAGAGGCATGGAAAGCAAAATAAAGCATTAGCCTCGCTACATGCTGCTAGCCAAGATTTGGCGCTGAACCAGGTCCTGGAAAAAGTACGAGTGTACCGTCTCCCCCTGTCGCTGGACTGCTGACTAATGGTAATATTTGGCTGATCAGGTCCAAGCTCTTTAACCTCAACCTTCTCCTGGTATGATCTTCTCTCAAACGGTATTGTTTTGAGTGATCTAACTGAATTATTCTCTTCTTTTTCTCGTTCTCCATTTTGCGTCTCTTTACGTTTGTCTCAAACTCCCACAGCTTGACCTGTCAATCACTGTAAACGGACGTCACAGACAGTGACAGTACAGGTCGCGGGCGATCCCGCCCCCTCAGGGCGCACTTCTCCTGCGCCCCCAAATCGTCTTATCTCTTGCATTGAAGAGGAGCTACTGCGCATGTACAACTTTTAACGAGAGTCCATAGACGGCTCAGGGCGCAATCTTTTGCGCCCTGAGGCGGAAATACGTCCTCAGTCCGACACAGACAACGCTGATGAGCTTAATCAATCCAACTCAGCATAAACTATAAAGTATTTCTTCCACATCTGAAATAAAACACACATAAATTTCGAAATACTTTAATGTTATTATTTTTTTTAACGTTTTATTCAAGGTAACATGGCAAGTTGTGAGTGGTGGGGCGGCGCCCTAGCGCCCTCTATTGGCCGGCCGCCACTGGATATAATAGACATCTGGGAACATGAAAATAGCGGAAAACGCAATTGACGTAATAGTGCGTCAATGGCAGGCAGCGGGCCATGTAAAATTCATTCGCGGGCCGGATTTGGCCCGCGGGCCTTGACTTTGACACATGTGAGCTACAAGAAAGTGTCATTATTTTCTGAGTGCGGCGCATGCGTGCTTTAACAAGAGGCGGGGCGATGACGCAAGCGTCTCAGATACATTGCGGAGAGGCAGTAACCACGGAGCGGCATATACGGAGTTTTGAAATCTTTCCACTCTGGGACCTACTTTCAAAAATGTTCGTTTACACCCCCCCAAAACGCCGGCCTCGTATGGAAGATACACTGGATTGATAAAGTATTTTTGCGTTTAGGCCTGAGCTTGACTTCGTGTGGACAGGGCCTTAGTTTAAAGAAGAAAGTCCCACTGAGATTTCTCTTTGGTCAGAGAGTGTTTGGGCCTGTGTCTTGTCGTGTGTTGTGCTTGTGTTGTGTGTGAGCGTGTGTGTTTGCTTGGCTGATTGTGCGGGTTGGGTTGAATGAGTGATGGGTTGGAGCCAAATAAGCGTCTGCTTCGTCCAGCCTCTTTTTCAAACTGTTTATTTTGTGTTTTGTTCTTATTTTATTTGCATATTGTTTATTGTTTGAAATAAATTCTTACCACTTCTACTTCTTTCTGCTGCCAGAAAGTGGGGAGGCGTTATGGAGACTATTGTACATGGTTTTTTTTGGTAGGGGAAACTGAAACCTACTCAGATAAATGTGCCCTTTATTTAGACACAGGTAGAACATGCAAACTCCACACAGAAAGGCCCGATGCGACTGGGATTCAAACCAAGGACATGGTTGCTGAGAGCATTGTACTGCTCATGTGCTTTAAACGTTTCCATTTATGCATTTTTTCTTTTAAAGCTTGAGTACCTAACCTTGAAAACATAACATATTTACAATATCATAAAGTCTCTCAAAACTGGTTTTCACGTTCATGTTTTTCTGTCACATTTTTCAATCAGAAATAGACAGGACCAGACCCCACTCTTGAACACAACATGTAAGGGTTAGACTCTAATGGGACAAAAAAAATGTAGTCACGAAACAAAACAACAAAAGGTTAGGTACTCCAGCTTTAATTGGTCCAAATAAATCCAGAAACAAAAGAGTGGTGTCTGTTCCTGGTCCTAGCACAAACAAACCTGGATGGAGCTGCCGCAATGAGAAGGTGTGGGCCGAGGAGGCTGAGGGCGTAATGGACCACCCTGGGAAGAGTGCCCCCGAAGCCGACATCTTTGTTCCGGAACAAGAGCTCTTCTGTGAGCCAAGAGACTTCACGACACAAGACTGACAGCTTTACACCCTGCAGAGGGAGGCAAAAAAAAATCATCTTTACAACACCATCCAGTGACTTAGAATAGACACTAGGGCATGAGTCACTCTCGCACTGATTAACTATAAAGAAGGCAATTTTGTTTATTAGCGCCTGTGGAGTTTGAGTGATACAGAAGCTAACTTTGAAATAAAAAACAGTCACAAATGCAGCATAGTGGGGAGAGGGGGGCTTGGTTAGGGAGTTGATTCAATGGAAAACAAAACAAGTTTCCTCTTTCGACAAGCTTCCTGGTAAAAAGATAAGTGTATTTTCAGCACTGAATCTTGCATTCGTGGACATTGCTTCCAAAGATTTTTCACTCAGGATAAAAATCAGATGGTATTAACACAGCATTATCTATCTTTCTATCTATCCACATCCAAATAAGCAATTGTGCTTATTTGGATATATACAAAGTGGTTACCAGGGAAAGGTTTTTTTTTTAACCGTTCTTTTTCAGATTCCGTTCCGTTCAGTAGATTATAGATTTACTCGACAATCAACAACATTTATGAACTTTTCAACACTTATAGATATTGGTAATCCGCCCCTTATGGACAAATCTGTTTTTTAATCATTGCATTTCTTGTATTTGAACTGTTTTATTCTCTGATTTGTGTTGGCGAATCAACGGTTTTGTAAATTCCTCCAACATTACTACTGTTGTGATTTAGCTCCACTCAAAAATAAAATTGAATTGTTTTAATCCCCCCATAAATTAATCTAAGCAAGAGACTGAGAAACAGCTGTATAAAAAAGAAGCAAACAAAAAATCTGTCAAACAATAAGCCTGCGAAACGTGGACCGTGTTACAGTGACGACGCTATACTATTAAAGAATTTGATGTTTTCTGACTTGTTTTGAGAAGCACTTTGGGTAGCTACTGTGCTATACAAACTCACTTGTTTTCCTTTTCCTGCCAATTCTTTGTGTCTGCATTTTCTCCGATATGAATTCAAAAGTCTCTGTTTGCTTTTGTAGTTGTTGAGTGGAGGGTGATGGAGAGCAGCTCTTCTATATTCAAATGAGCGCTTCCCCCGCACAGGTCTACCAACCTCGGTGGGCGTCCCCTCGCTTACACACACGTCGTACCTTGTGATGTCTGTGGAGCAAAAGGCTTGATACAACACCAGTGGACATCACCGCTTTACAGGAAGTGGTAGCTGCAAAGTCAAAGAGAGCAAGCACACGCGATATTTATTACCCGCCATCATTTGCATCCAGTTAAGAATCAATAACAGTTTTATGATTCAGCACAAGGCCGTGATCGTAGACCTTACAGTGGATGAGGTGAAGGATGATGGCGATGCTGAGGTCGTCTTGGGGATGCGGCTCGCGTCGGGGTGCATAATGAAAAGGAAGAAGCCACGGCATCCTCCTACCTCCGTTTGCACTTTCAGATCTTAAGGGAAGACAAAGAAGCGTGAGGTGCGCGATGTCGCCGAGTATTTACATAACGTTAACCATGCGATTTATTGATTTATGCAACAGTGAAATGAACATCAACAGGGTCATGCTCCGAAGAATTTCTCTGAAGAGGAAAGAGCGAGAAATTATAGTGTGAAAAATGGTGCTATTTGGATGAATGACCCACTCATTTTGATCTTTTTTCCCCCAAAAACCGGTCAGACTGTTCTTGTTCAAGTCTACATGTAGTTCAAAGAGCCAGAATAATGAGAGCAAAAACACGCTCTGAGGTATCTAGTTTTTCAGCGTTAAAACTTCAGAGCTGGTAGTGCTAACAAAAATAGCAGTCATTTATATAACTGCACTTTTTAAAGCAGATTAGTTAGAAATGGCATTGCTTAGAACAGCCATGTCCAAATTAAGACACTTGTGCTAATTGCAGCCCTCTGGATTAGCAAAGTGCCACAAATGGCAGAAAGTCGTCTTTGAGATCATAAACACAGTCATCCAGTCAACTTGAGGCTCAACTAATTCAGTGGTCCCTCAAAGCAGCATCAGAAATATGTTTTAAGGCTGTAAAAACTCTCACACACATACTTTATACACTTTTCTGACCAGCTGAACTCACGACTGCTGAAATACATTCGCGGAGATATCAAACCTGTTGGTCTGAACGCTGCAGCAGCTTTCAAAAGCCGAGCACTGTCAAATACTACAGGACTGAGACCGCGCTAGTCCTCTGAACTAATCACTGTGGTGCAGAGACGAGAGAGACCAGAAAGAGATGAGAGAGAGTTCTCTGAACTAATAACTGTGGTGCAGAGACGAGAAAGACAAGAGAGAGGCTTCTGAACTAATCACTGTGGTGCAGAGACAAGAGAAAAAGAGACCAGAAAGAGACAAAAGAGAGCCTTCTGAACTAATCACTGTGGTGCAGAGACAAGAGAGACCAGAAAGAGATGAGAGAGAGTCCTCTGAACTAATCACCGCGGTGCACACAAGTCCAAAATGTCTTTTTTGACCTCTATAACCTAGTGGTTATAGGATGTTATATATGAGAAGAGCACAATATTGCAAACACAAAAAATCTGTGAAACAACGAGACCGCAAAAGGTGATCTGTGTAATAGCAAGGCCGATGTTTATGATTGAGTCACAGTCCATATATGGCATTAACGTTGCTGTGGTTGTTGGCTCCTGGACAACCCCTCGTTTACTGAAGTGGGCCTCTAACTGAAAAATGGCTCAGAAGTTACTGGTTTCACACAGCACAAATAAGCACATTAGGGCTGTGATAGTTTTTACTTTCACTTAGGGCGTGTTCAAATTGAGTGGCACTTTGGGCTGAATGCGTTTCAAGAACTGCCCTGTGTACAGATTGTGCTATAGAAAATAAAACGTGCCTTGCCTCATAACACTTGGATGGAGGGAGATGCGACCGCACTAATCCAAACATGTCACCTCACATATCATATATGTCCCCTCACTTATCATTTCATCTGACCCACATCAGTGAGTGTGTGTTTACAAAGCACTGGTGAAAACGGATTGGTAAAGACTAGGGCCGGGACTTTAACGCGTTAATTACGATTAATTAACGCCACAAAAATTAGTGCGTTAAAAATTGTAACGCATTTTAATCGCATGTGTTTTTTCCACCGCGGAACGTTCCTCACTGGAGGCTATGTTTCAGACGGACCGATTATAATGGCGCACACCCACTGAGCTCCGTGACTTTTGTTGTTCAAAAGTACATTATAACCAAGCCCCGGCGATCCAAGATGGCGCCCTATTCAAATGAATGGTTGTGCTCAGTTGCGCTTTGTGACAGCATGGGGGCTGAAAAGATTAGCGGAAGTTGCCTGAAACTTGCAAAGATCTATGGGAAACTCGCCTGTATTTGGGCATCGTCTGGTCCTCCCGGTTCTGCGCAGTGGATGATCTCCCATAATGCGTTGCACCAAACACGCGTGTGTGGGTCTCACACCGGGTCTCACGCACGTGCACAGAGGGGCTCGGCCGCGCTCTGACCAATCAGAGCAGTTCATTAGAGCGGGAGTTAGAGCGAGAGCCAGACGAGCAGAGTTTGTGGCACTAAAGTGTGGATTTAAACAAAACCGAAGGATTTAAGAAGAAAAAAAGTTCAGGATGACAAGGGACACTAAAATCCCCACAAAATCCGAAATCAGCTGTAGGTTCTCCGTCAGCTGAGGTTGAGCTGTTTTAATATGCATTGAGTTCTATGGGGAAAATTTCTGGGTAGCCCACGTGAATTTAGTCTGGTTCAGTCTGCAGTACCGCGAGAATCCCCTGAGCACATGGGTTATTCAGCTACAAGCTAGTAATACCCTATCCAGTTATTATAATAGATCCATGATTATAACTAGTAGATGTTTTAGTTCAGGGGTGCTCAATACGTCAATCGCAAAGGTAGTATTGGAAGATCGCATTTAATGAAACGTGCGACTTCTGATCACTGAAGCATGGATCATACTGCCTTAAAAACTGTTCACTGCTGCAGCGGTTTACTGCACTGTTCACAGCAGCGATCCTCGCGCCACATCAGAGAGCAGCAAAGTGATCACAGGGACTCAGGCTCCAAAACAACCAAAACAGGAGCTAAACCAGGATCAAACCAGGGCTGAGGACTGGGGTCAATGCTTGTAAACATATGTCTTCACCATGGATCTATAATAATACGTCTTCACAGTGAGTTTCGACTATGATTGTAAGTGCCGCTACAGAATGAAAGTTTTAGTTCGAATGCACACATCAAAAACGTATTATAAGCTTTTGTACTCACTTCGAGTGCAGTGGATTTTGGGTTTAAGAAGTGTATGTTGTGGACAGAGTGTGTGGAGGCGATGACAGAAACGTTATTGGATGGAAAGGAGTCCGTCTGATCCTCCACAATGAACATGTGTTGCTTAAGCTTATGTATTCAGTCATTATTCAATGGTAAACTAAAAATCCATGTGAAAAAAAATTACTTCTCACTGTTTTCAGGACAAATATTTATATGCGATTAAAATGTGATTAATCGAGATTAATTGATTACAAAGCCTCTAATTAGATTAATTTTTTTTATCGAGTCCCAACCCTAGTAAAGACACATGTGAAACCTGTGCGCGGCTATTGATTGTGAAAATTTCAATGTTTACATCCAATTCCTTTGTTCAAAATGAAAATATACATTTATCATCAAATATCCATCCTGTGTGTTTTAATTTTAATTATTCAAACACTTTTCCAGCGCTTTTTGTATTGTGTCCAGTTCCAATGTCGCAGTTTGTTCATGGTCCACAAGGGGGATCTCAGAGTCCTCCTGGTGCTCCTGAGATTCGGGTGAAGGTGATTCACAGTCCAAATAAGTCATTTCAGTGGCGCTACTGGCCCCTGTTGGCTCAAAAGCAAAAGTGGGGATGTAAACTGGTGGCTCCCAGTTAACTCCGTCCCAGTAACTACCAGCTCCCGTTTCTTCAAACACAACTGAGGGGTATTTGTGATCTGAACTAGAGTTTGCCCCTTTGGCTCCACTGGAAGTGATTATTAGTTTTATACCAATGCTTTTTCAAGGCATTTAAAACTAAGATTCAAGCTCTAGCTCTTCCAATCTTCTCTTAATGCCGAGATGCCTTGCTTCAAGTGCATATTTTGTTCTTGTTTAGTTTCAACTAAAAACGCAGGGACCGATACAAGAAGCCTTAGAAAGTCTGGAGCCTCGAGTGGCTTCACCGCGGGGCGTATAGAGAAGGGACCAAAACTTGTCAGACGTTTTGACAATCCGAGTTGATCGCATTTTCAACATACTTAGTTTTCTGGTGCTTTGTAAATTCACTCTAAATTCAAGTGGCAGCGTGAGGACTGGCGCGCAATTCTTTTGAAGTGAACTCAGTCCTCCAGAGTCGAGTGATTTTTTGGAGGTGATCTACGCGGGCTCAATCATTTTGCCTGGTTTTTCTGCACCTTCTTATTTGAATAATTGATTTGAAAATGACTAGGCCACATGTAGCTGTAATAAGAGGTCTTCGCTCGCTCAGTGCAGAGACTTTAAAACTTCACAAACAAAGACACAAAGACACAAGCCGATCAGTGAGAAGCGATGATTGTGCTTCTGCTCATTTCCATGTTAAACTGCTAATAACCACTCCATCTTTGCTTCCAAACCCATGAGCTGTATTTTGATTTGCGCTGCTTGCTTCCAGCTCAGTGAAGAGAATTAAACAGAGAAGCCACTTGCAAGCACAGACGCCAAGCCGAGATCGAGGGGGGGACTCTATTTGTGTCTTATCTTTTCCACTGGCAGACAGTCTAATGTTGTTTGTAATTGGACCAAGTTTAAGAGGATGAAATCTCTCCAGGGGATGGCATGGTATCAGTTTGAAGCTTAGAGACAAGTTTCTATTCTTAAAAGTTAAACACGGAAACTTTTTCAGCCTTGTCAATGGCAGGCAGGACACTCGTCACTGGTGTTATCTTTTCAAACGGCATTTCGGTTTTGACCTGTTGTTTAAGATCACGGGCAGCAACAGGTCCTGGAGAGGCAACAGGTCGTCCACACTGCATCTCCCAGAGTCACACATTTCCTGAAACAAAACAACATATTCAACATGTAAACCTGAAGTAATGTATTGTCACTCTTTGTAATGTACTGCGATTGTTTATGATTTTAAACATGCCATGCCTAGGAATTAATGAATGTTTGAGTTCACAGATTTTCTGAATTGAGTCCTTTTTGCTCAATTAGAAAAAAATAAGATAATTACTTCTTCTTACTATCTTGTTCTATGTATGTGCAGTATTTTTTATAGCCTTAAATCATTAACCATTTGTTTCGGACTCAACAATTTATGGTTAGACGTCTTTTAATTTCCATATTGTCTTTGTAAATCCAGATCATAGGAGTCCTAACCCGTTTAAGGACATTTTCTCCATCAAGTCTATGTTCAAATTGGCTTCTTCCACGTTCGCCAAACGTCATAGGTATAGTCAGCCCTCAGTTGGAAAGGATGACATGTCGTTTAGCCCTGTGTTGGCTTCATTCCATGGGGAAGACTGGACCGTGTCAAAACAAATTTCCAACTTTCAAAATAAGTCTTCAAAAGTCACAGCACAGTGGACCCAGAACGAGAGGGAATCACATTATAATGGACTACGGCAAGTTTTTCATAAGTATTTTCAAAAATATTCTTATAAAGACAACTTTATAAAGGAAAGAGCAGCATGTGCGAAATCCCATATTTAGACGCACAAGCTTGACTTTGGTTAAGTTTTCATTAAATGTATGACTTTACCAACCATCACCTGACCCACATATAAGCAAGGGGCTATAAACAGTTTGATTTTGTCCAAATTACAGCCATTGGAGTGTTCACGTGTTCACGTTAGACATGCCAGCCCCACGTCAATCAGCGTTTAATGAAAAGGCACCCTGGGGTTTTTTGGTAAAATCTCCTGTTTCTGCTAAGTGGGATTTAAGCTATTATTTTCCTATAGCTGCCAGAAGCAAGTTAAGCCCTCTTTAAAATAGAACTATGCAGAAAACAAGAGCGTTACAGAGCCTAAAGCAAAGAAAAGACAGCATACATCAGATGGAATTGAGAAATTCTAGCTCAGGCCTCATTTTAAACATTAAAATGCAAGGCAGGATGTTAAATGATAAGACTTTGATGCTGATTCCTTTTATGGTTTACCTTCAGAGAGAACGGCTGCGCCAAGTCAATCCGAACACTTCCCCACGACCTCGTCCAGAGCAGAGACAACAAGCACTTCAGCAACGAACCCACGCCAATCTTCAAAGACAGACACGAGCGTTTAGAAAGGATTAAGCCCAGCGAGTTAGCAATAATAACATAATGGTGTCAGCTATAAGCACTAATGAACACAATCTATGGGGCTTCAGATAAATGCCATATTTGCGACGTGTCCGTGCATGGTATTAAGAGTGCCGTGTCAACTGCGTTCCGACGATTAAACGAAATGCTTGGGTGAGACCCTGATTATGACAATTAGCTGCTTTTAAGCCTCTAATCAGCCTCATCTCCCACCGGGGACAAACATTACAGACTTTTCGCCTCTTGGAAATAAACATAGAAATAAGAAAATGCACTAAAACCTTGAGGCTTTGATCAGGAATAGAAGCAAAATCAATGGTTTGTAGCAGCCATTGTGGTTTAATGAAAACGACAAAGATCCTAAATTTTGTTGCGGTGGCAAATTAATTGAAAGAGCGAGCAGCAATAGTCTTATGAATAGGAGAAAAACATGTATTGAATATGGGGTTTGAAATGAAGTGTGTTTGAGAGATATTCAATTTAGCATAAAATGAAATACACTGGTTTACATTTTGGCAAGAAAAAAACAACGTATAAAGCCATTGATTGAATTAACATTGATTAAAATCCATACACTGATTATACTGCAGTTCCCTTACTGCAAAATAACAAGGCTCAAATGAAAAAAACGATGGTTAGCTTAGCAAATCTATCCTTGAACATGTATTCAAAAGACAATATTTTTCTTTATCATAAAAGAACACAAAATAAACACAGAAAAAAACAAAAATAAAAGTAGTTCATAACAAGGGTGTATTAAATATTTCTATAAGATACTTCTTGTTCAGTAAATGCACATCTCTCATTCTTTTGACCTCCCCAATTGTTTTTCATACAAAATCTGTCCTAAATTGCTTAACATATTTTAACCATCTCTCCCAGACTTCATTAACATTTTCCGTCGCCCCCTTTTTATTTAGTTTTAGCTAAAATGAAGGCAGCATGTTGTGGTCGGATTAGTTCTCAATATGTGTAACTTTTAAAAACAGCATAAAAGTGTTTTTTTTTTTATTATTATTGCGAATGGGAATATGCATTATTCACCAAAAAAGTAAGGTAACCCAACTTTAATACAATACGTTTTTTCTTCTTTTGGTTAATCCTATTTAAAGAAATAGTGTAGTCTTACAATCATCTTGAGAAATACTTCAGACTCAAAAATTCCATGTTTTAGACCTGCTATACATACAATGGTACGCAGAAGGCTGAATCATCAGATCTTGTGGTCTCTGGAAGCTGAAATAGAGACGTTGGTTGAGAGTTTCCCTTCTGCAGGACTTAAGCGCTTCAAAGCAATGAGCTACAGTACTCTGACCTTGAAGCATGGCAAGAGGAAGTGAGGGTGCCATCTACATAGAAGCCATTTTTTCCCTTAAAAAAGCCATTTATCATTATTATTTGGTCTTGCACATAAGACTATTTACTATGTCATTTCATGTTTTAGGATGTAAAAAAATACTTAAGCTGAAAAAATATGGATCGACATGTATATGAAGGTTAAGAACTATGATCTAAGCATGTAATACCCACATCTACCACCAGAGGGAAGTGGTTTTATGGATTTATTTAGTGGTAATTCATAAAACTAAAATTAAAAGAAAGAAAGCGGCTTTGAACTCCGCGGAAGGATTTATTATTGTGTACCAGGTTTGAGATGGGAACATTTAAACAGAGTGGGTGGGGTGGAAGCGTTTGTGCCAGAAGATAATTTTGACTAGAAACTATGTTGTCAAAAAAATTCTATCTTAAATATTTTAGGTGAGAAATATATTGTGAAACAAGTATGAAAGGTAAGAAAAAAATGCAATTGTAACTGTTTATGCTAACACCAGAGGGAGAAGTAGAATTGTTTTTTCAAAAATGTGAAAAATTACCTGCGATTGTAAAAACCATAGATTTGGTTGAGAAATTCCCAAAACTCATGGAACGGTAGAAAACAACAAGAGTGATGTCATAGTAGAATAATGACATGGTTTAAAGAACTTGAATACGTCTCTTTTAAGGCTGTGACTGACCCAACTATCCACCATGTGTAGCTGTAGCCTGTTTGTTAATTTTTGGTTTGTGTACTAGAAATAAATAAAAAAAATAAAAACAAAAAAATTTAAATAAATTAGCTTCAGATGATTTTGCAGCTGCCAAGTTTGCTTACATATCCATTTCATTTTATTGTCGCTGTGAGAACTGAACACCGGTTACAATCGATTTGCCTGACGCTAATTCCTTGCGACTTCATTACAGCCTTTTGCGTGCGCCTTTTAAACAGCGAGTCATAGTCACCTGGGGGTCGGCCGGGGGAACAAAGTCGTACGAGATGCCCACTGGGACCAGGCTCACATCAGGCACGGCTCCGTCTTTGATGAACTGTCTGATGCGAGACAGCCACGGCCCTCCCTCTCCAGGCTCTGCTGACACGGACACACTCACGGCCTGGCCCTCGTGTAGAAGCTCACGTACCAGCTACGAGAGGGGAGAACAGACACACCGCAAACACATGACTGCAATAATTTAACAAGTGCTGCAAAGGAAAGAAGTGTTGCTTATTCTGAGGAGTGTTTTGCCCATAGAACAGAGGTGTCCAAACCGGTATAGAAAAGGCCGCTGTGGCTGCGGGTTTTCTATCAGACCCCGGAGGAGCAGAGCAGACTCCACCCATTTCCTCAAGTAAGTTACAGTCTATGGTTTTAACCTGAAGATATGAGAAAATGGGTGGAGTCTGCTCTGTTCCTGCTGGGTCTGATAGAAAACCTGCAGCCACAGCGGCCCTTTCTGGACCGGTTTGGACACCTCTGCCATAGAACCAGATGGTATAGTCTTAAATCAAGTGAAGCAGTGTTATTAGCTTCTCTATTCAAGTGAGAAATTGCCTGTAGTTTTGGGATTTTGGGTTAAATTAATACAAGTTTCATTGGGAAAACTTTTGTAAGACTGTCATATACTCAAAATTCTAATTACTGCTAGCACTCGCTCTATATTGCGTCAATTTTTACAGTGAGTGAGCATCTTGCGTTTATTTTGACCATAGAATCAAGAGTAGTAGGCAAGGAAAGTGTATTTGTAAAGCACAATTCATACACAAGGCAACTCAAAGTGCTTAACAATTCAATTCAATTCAATGTGTACTTGTATGGCCCTAAATCACGACAGTAGAAATCGCCAACACAGAATCAAAGAGTTCTCGATTTTAAGGTTCTTTTAATGGTTTTTAAATGTCTTAATGGTCTTGGGCCTTCTTATCTTTCAGAACTGCTTTTATCCTATGAACCTTCCCGGCCCCTGCGCTCCTCCGGCAGCAGACTCCTAACTATCCCCAAAGTCAGGACACACACTCACGGCGAGGCATCTTTCCAGCACTACGGGCCCCGTCTCTGGAACAGTCTGCCGGAGGAGCTCAGGGCCGCAGAGAACATTCATATTTTTAAAAGTAGGCTCAAGACACACTTTTTTAGATTAGCTTTTGATTAGTTTTTATTATTCCATTCTATTTATCTTTTATTATTTATTATATTGCTATTGCTATTATTCATGTATTGTGTGTTCCTTTTAGTCTCACATTTTAGTGTTTTACTTGTATTGTTTTTAGTGTACCCAGTGTTTCCTCTGGAGGAGCCCTCTCCACTGGCAGCCACACCGCCAGTGGTCGGTGTGGCTGCGGGGGTCGGACTCTTGGGCCTAGTGGGGGCCTGGGGCCTCGGTTTCATGTCTCCTCTGGGTCCTGTGTCGTCCCCTGTGGCTACGGGCGGCTCTCTGCTCCTGGTGCAGACGGCTCCTTGGATGACGCTTTTTCAGCTGGTTGCATCTGAACCCTGCCAAGTCTCTCATCATGGTTTTATTGTTTTACTGGTGTGTGTGTGTGTGTGTGTGTGTGTGTGTGTGTGTGTGTATGAGTGTTCATGAGGCGCGTGTGTGTGTGTTTGTCTGTGTTTGGGTGGGTCTGTTGGGTGGTCTGGGGGAGGGGTCTTGGGTCGGCGGGAGAGTTTTTAACCAAACTGTAAAGCACTTTGTGTTGCATCTTTTGTATGAAAAGCGCTTTATAAATAAAATTTGATTGATTGATTGATTGAAACACAAGAAATGCAATGATAAAAAACAAACAGAGGCATTGGTCCATAAGGGGCAGACCAAAGCCCATAAACATAAATTAATTTCCATTAAAGGGGACATATCCACTTTTTGTGCCTTAAATGCCTTATGTTGTGTAGTTGGAGCATCTAGAAGTGCAAAAAAGTTGAAATCAGTCTCTTCATGGGTTGCAGAGAACACTTCATATTCTGTTTAGGTAAGATTTTTCAACCCGTTCTGATTTTGCCATTCTCTATTACGTGTTTAGAATTATTACGTCACAGTATTTGCAGCGAGACTGCTATACAAGGGCATGGGCGTCTAACAAAACACTGCGGCCCAGCCCTCCTCTACTGTGCATCACTTAATTTGTAGTCCAAGCTCAAGGATGCCAGCGCCCAGGGCTGGACTGGCCATCGGGCGTACCGGGCAATGCCCAAAGGGCCGATGCCCATATTTGGGCCGGTCTGTCTGCCTCATACAAAACACATGTTTATAAGAAGTGTAAATCCGTTGAGAATTTTTTGAGCGGGGCGCGCGTATCCGCGGGGCACCTGCTGAATGTACTCGAACGGGATTCCGCCACCTCAGCGGCCGCAGTGTTCCGGGGCATCTGCGGCCGCTTTGTAATGAGCAGCTTCCGCGTCCACCGGCTGCAAGAGGCTGTGAGCATCCAGCCGCTCGCAGCCGCTCGCAGCCGCTCCACCGTCATGTGGCTGAGCGCGCAGCCTCAACGTGGCCATGTACCCAACCCGATAAACGTGCACAGGACCATGAGTGTCTTTGAGTAATCTGTGCACCCAATAAATACACTGCTGCAGGAAACAGTCTGCGTCTCCCCTCTCCTCTCGAAGCGCGATTAAACGCCCTAAATAAAGCTCTGATACCTACATTTTGCATTGCATTAAAAGTTCATGTTTGACCCCAAAAGTAATATGTTGTGAACAAATTAAACAGATTTAGAGCCAGCAAATGGCTGACAATATGCATTTCAGTCTTTTTTGACCAATTCTCATCCCTGTAACCAACAATAGTGTTGTCTGTGTCCACCTCCCTCACTCTGAGACATTACTCTCTGTTTATTACTCTCTTGTAATGCAGACTATTGCATTTTATTTTATTGTTGAAACCGCACATATCATGATCCTCTACAGTATTTGCTTCCACATACTGTATAATCCAGGAGTCGGCAACCTGCGGCTCCGGAGGCGCATGCGTCTTTTTCCTTCTGTAGAAGAAAACACTTTAACGTTTTTAAATGCCGTAAAATTGTGCATAAGTAATTTTCAATTAAAAAAATTCTGTCAACGTGTCTGTCAAACCGGCGTGTGAGCATCATAGACTGTGCGCATCCCAAAGCTAAAAAGAGAAGAGTTGATAATAAGACTGGACTAAGAATGAAAATTAACATTTGCTTTCAGTCAATGAGGAAGGACTGCTTCATGTTTGCGATGTAATGAGAAGTTTCTATGAGATAATTTTATCTGTGCTTAGAAACTACAAAAATGGCCGCTCGGGGTGGAGTTGAACCTGTGTCACCTGGATGGGGGCGTGGTCAAAAGCGCCTCATTTGCATTTAAAGAGACAGCACCAAAACAGGTTGCTCTCAGACGCACCTCAGAACAGGTGTAGAAGAAAGGCCCGTGGAGCTACAAATAATGAGACTCAGACCCAGGCATTGCAGTTACGCTTTATATAGGCCACAAATTAATGATTTAGATATAAAAATCAATTATTTGAAAACACAATATGTCCACTTTAAAGTTGTTGAATTTTGAGTGTCCTGGATCCTCACCACTGTCCTTTTTGTTAGACCCTCACAAAGGCTCGGAAAGGAACAAATCTAATAACCGAGTGAGAAAAGGTGAGAAACCGCGGGGAGTTCCACAATGAGAGAGGGATCCACTCCCACAGATGGACGAGGTATAGATCCAGGACTCAGGCTACAGAACGAGGACCAAGGCCAAGCGGATAGAAACAGTCACGCAAGGCATTAAAATTGTCGTAGTGGAAGCTTGTTTTTCAAGAGAAATTGTAGGTTTGTGGGTTTTTAGGTAAAATATGAGGTTTAGTTCAAGCTTCATTGGGAAAACGTATGTAAGACTGTCATGCACCAAAAAGTCTCCTTAAAGCTGATAATAATGCATCAGTTTTATACAGCACTAATGTATTTTGTATCAGTTTTTACAGTGAACATCAGCATTCATCTGGCGTCTGTGGTTTCAAAATCTGCATTTAATCATAGGGTAATGCTAACAGAGCATTTTGTAAATACACAAAATAAAAAGTCAAACGTGTCTGGAATATAGAAATGATTTTAAATGGAGAATGGAAGAAGATAAAATACATAAATTGAGGGGGATAACTTGACATAACCTTTTGTCAATCGAAAGGCTGAGGATGTGGAATAATTTAAGGATCTTACATCATGTTGATGTACATCATCAAAAGAAAGAAGTACAGTATACTGTTTTTAGAGGATGCTCAAAAATGAAGTACCGTGCAGTGCTGGACCTGTCCGTATTGCTAAGTCTATGTAAGGTTAAAAATGAGTCAATTACTAAATTAAATTAGTTATCCTAGATCAAAGTTCAGTCATTTATGAAGTTTTTACCATAAGGCACTTGTCTTAAGAGCTAAAACTAGTGAATATAACTGAAATAAATGAAAACTACTGTTGTCATTTATGGCTATACAAGAAAAACATGAATTGAATTGAAATACAGCAAAACCATTTGTCGAAAGGCTAATGCTAACTGCTTCAAATAAATGTGGTGCTATGGCAACTAGTTACTCTTTATTGTCCCACTCTGGGAAATTGTTTTTGCAGCAAAGCAATCATCTAAAAACAGACAGAGTAAAATCATAACAATGAAGATAAGAACAAGAGAGGATGTCAAAAAGCTAGTTTCAGAGCAAATATTCTGTAAAGTGCAGTAGTCTGTATGAAGTGCTATGAGTTAAAGTACTTAATATCTATTTCAATAAGCGATTAGTTGAGATTAATCAATGTAAGCATGCATTTTCTAGGGGCTGGTGCTATGTGACTTGGGTGGCATTTCTGACTGCCACCCCCCCGACCCAAAAATTGAATAAGGGGTAGAAATCGGATGGATGGATGGATGTATTTTCTTTGTAAATCTCTGTTCACATTACAGTCAAGTCTGAAAGTTACATGCAGACTGTAAGCAATTCACACAAAAGATTACTTCAGGTCAACCAGAGAAAAACCGTGGAGCGAATCGGTTTCAGCAGCAAAACAAGGACATTTATGATCTGGAGCCAAAAGGAGAAACTGCTGAAGTGAGAGGTGAAGTTGAACTTGTTGCTCCAAAAGAACATTTGTGAAGTTAAAATGACAAGAGGAATGCGTGCATACTGAAAACTGTAGGGAAAACGTGAGAGGTCAGGCGCTCTTCAAGGAGTTATTTCTTGCCGACGACAGGGTGCTTGCTCTTTTTCCAAATTAAAATTCCAGACTTTTTCCGCACTTTTTTAAAACTGATATTTTTTTCCCAAGACCTTAACTTTATGTACTTGTATACTTGTGTGCCTACCGCCTAATTCATTGGTTGAGATTGTACCAACTGTGTTTATTAGAAATGTTAATTTTTTAAACCATACATTTTTCCCCCCATACTTTATTAATACTTGACAGTTTCACAAGTCATCGGGAGATAAATACTGCTGTGATTTGAATTGAATTGATGGGTTTGAAACATGTTGCCATGTCTCTATAATTATTAAAAGATTGTTGTTAATCTTGTTAATGTCCGATCCGCTGTGTTCGATGTGCACTTAAAACTTAACGACTTTTCGTCACAAACCACAAGTTGAGTATTTTTCCACATTTCTCATTATGTACATCTCATTGTGGTGAAAAAAAGAGAAAATAATACTTTAAATGCTCAAGACAGAATAGAGAGATGTTGAAATGACTTGTATTGTTTTTCAGAGGATTAAGAAAAAAACAAAAAAAAAAACAAATCAACTTTATTTGTTATTTCATTTTTATTTCATCATTGCACTACCCATGTTACTCTCTGGAAGATTCACACTATCCACTGATCTACAAACGTCCAATCTTATTATTTGTGAGTTGGGGTTGAAGAAAGGGACCACTTGGTATTGTAAAAGTAATCTCTTAGAAAGCTTGGGAATCCCTTTACTTTTCAATGTGAAATGTATTGTATTGTTAACACAGAGAAAGAAGAGACCTTGAGAGTCACTATCTGATGTGCGATGATGTGACTGACTTATTAAGGGTAGTTCTCAATTCTTCTCTTTTCGTCTGTACAAAATGCTGTGAAGCTGTGCTAATGGCTGGTTTAATATTCCACTGTTTCATTATCCAATTTAAAACAAACTATGTATGTTTTTAAATTGGACCTAGAGTGTGTAAAAAAAAGTCGAATTGAATTGGAATTGAAATATTGTTTGAAAGCTTTCAACAAGTCTGACTCTTTTCCTGGGTCCGTGTTCCGTTTGGATTGTTGTGTTTGTTTTTAATTTGCAACAACTTCATTTCTAATTACCAAACTACTCCATATCCATATTTCTAATAACCTCTAATAATTTGAAACCAAAACCGCATAAACTGAAAGATGAATATTTGTGTAACCCTTCTTAACTGAGTAGTAGGAAAATCCAGGAATCTACTTATCCAAAAAGTTTCAAAAATACATTCAAACCTACTCAATATGGGTTCTATAGGATCGCAAGGAGACTGGCAGTAATGACTCAATCATGAGCGTAAAAAACCCTCCAACCGCAATTGACACACGGACAACGACATAAGAATGAAATGTTCTATTCAAATGATGAACAAGTAAATCTCCTCAAAAATAAACATGGGGCATGAACAAAAACATGTCAAACTCTTTAAATTGGTTCCGTTCACCTCCCAAAATGTTTCAATACTGTCCCTTTAAGTGTCCAAAATGCACAGAATCACTGTCCGTCTCAGCTGAGTGCACGATATACTCACAAGTTGGTTGGTATTTGAAAAGTCAATTGTCAGTTTTTTTTTTGTATGGTGTCAGGCCTGACCCAAAAAAAAAAAGTCGCAACAAAAAATTATATCTGAGATCTCAGAAAAAACAAAACAAATTATCCTCAGAACTGTGGAGAATCTTTTCCGTCCTACCACCCTTTTAGGAACCAAGTGGTCTTCGGATATGGAGCTTCCTGCGTGGACATCTCATGTAGCATCCAGTCCTTAGATGGCACCTTAGCAGATTCTATCATAAAAAAAACCAGCCAGGATTTTCAACATATATTCATTTCAAAATCCACTGCTCAACAGGTTACAGGATTCCACAACACTGTGGTGCATCTCGCTCCGTGCAGACAGATGTCGGAAAAGAAAGCTAACTAGCTCTGAGCAGCGAGTTGCCGCGAGTAGCGCTACGCTGCATTCATAGAACATAGTAAAAAATAACACTCAACCAAAAAAAATGTAAACTTTGAAGAAAAAATAAAATAAAATACTCTGATTATAAAAACATAAAATAACCATGGGTTACATTTGCTAAAAGATGAATAAGCTATTTACCACAGCGGTTGCAAATCTTTAACATCTCAGAACGCATTGCCTGTGAAGGTCTCAAGCAGGGGGGGCGGGTCCCAGCTCTCAAAAGTGGCCAAAATGACGTGCGCTGACATGTTTGCAATACCACCCCGGGCCGATGGGGGTGGACCCGGAAAAAGAATTAGCCAATGCTAACATATAGCATCTTCTTACCTCTCGAAAACGTCTTTACAGGATGGTCCAAAGTTGGCTCTTGGCCCAAAGCTCCGTTCCACATGTGTGTCAATGCTGAGGGGGGTGAATTTTTTGGGCCACTCTAGTTTAGTCGCTGTGAATTTTTGAAGGCACTCGTTAAATGAATGCCGGCTGACGCATGCACAGATGCGTTTTTTCACATATTCCAGCCCCCGCGGCCATTTTGAAACTTCCCATAGACCGCGGAAGTTGTGGCACATTAGTTAAAACGGCGGAGATAGGCGTAACTACGTCAGTTATATTTACAGTCTATGGTGTCAAGGTCTCTCTCTCAAAAAAAAAAAGTCAGGATTGTATATTACTACCCCACTATGATAATTTCCCCCAAATATCAGATTTTTCTAGTCATTCAAATTCAAATTTTGCCCTGAGAGGGTAAAATCATATTATTTTGTATTCCTGCATTTTGTGCCTTTCCTTCTTTCATTCCTTGCATCATTGATTCTTTGCCTCGTCTCTGTCATGACACTTATGAGCCTTTCTCCAACTGGCTTATTTATTGAACTTTGTGACTGTCCTCGTTCCATGTGAATCAGATCAGCAGTTGCAGAAATAGCAATGGACAAAATACTGTGATCTTAAGAAACAGAACGGTTTCTTCAATCTAAGAGCAGAGACTCACAGACGTCACCACCGCGGAGCTCAGCGGGTCACTCTCCAACTCCTGCTCAGTCTGGTCCCCGTCCAGCAGAAGGACCACTCCAAGTCTCCGCAGAATCATTCTTCAAAATCAAGAGTGAACAAAATGCTTATTAGGATTGATTAGTCAACAAGTTATTTTTTGTATCTTAAAGATTATGGTAATTGTGCGTATTCAATAACACAATAAAAACACAAAAAACACAAAAAACATGATTTATTTGTATATTTTATAAGTTTTACTGTTAATGGAGTGTCTATTTTGCCAATGGGTGGTGTCGATTTTTAGGAAAATACCTAAAAGGGAACGGAAAAAATCCATTAGCCTGCGTAGCATCTGCCAGAAACACAGCTGACAGTCGGCAGTCTTCACTGACTTTCAGATAAACAAAGCCGTCTTTTGTGTGGGTTACGGTTGTAGTAACGGAGGCAACAGGGAGAAAGAACTTTTAAATGCCAAAGACTGTCTCAACCCAAGGTGTTCTTATAAAAAAATAAACTAAAAGGAGGCTGAATAATCTAACATTGTATCTATCTATCACGACTGGGAGTGTGAGGATCGGGGTAATGTCTAGGGTAGTATCCGAGCTCTGTGGCACAAGGTTTGGCTGCGATCCTTGCAGCCCCCGAGATTAACTTTTTATTTACAGCTCAACAAATCATCGCAATGACAATACAGTCATATTTCTCTCCTCAAATGTTGTTAAAAGTAATATTTGTGCCCAATTTATTATATTATTGATCAAAACATTCATTTGGGACGTGGTTCTGTTGATCGCAGAGTGACGGGCTCCATTGTCGCTCCACAACAGCCGCTTAATCCTCCTCATTGTTGAAAATATTGAACTCATTCAAACTCTACACGGCGTACGCTGTGTTGAAAATAGTTTCACTCCAAATAATAGTTAAATCCAGCTGCAAAAAGCTTCTATGTGTCTGTTTCCCCGCATCGCCCTGTCTGACTAATAGGACAAAAATACTTCCTGCCCTACAGCCCCCTGCCACGCCCCCTTTGGTCCACGTGATTGCAACCCAGCAATTGAGAGTGATTCAAAGCATTAAATACTATAAAGGCTATAAAAACAGATTAATCTAAAATAAATGAACATTAACAGCTCAGTTTACAGACTGCAAAACATGACTGAGCTGCTTCACTTCAGCTTCATCACTGGAAAGAGAACATATAAAATTACATATCGACTAAAAATGACTTTTGGGCGCTTCAAAAAGAAAACAAAAATAATGGAACTGCTCTGATCGGCCACTGACCCTGTTCGATCAGACACGACAAAAGTCATGGGTGTGATATGTCCGTCCGATCTGCTTTTTTTAACAAACAGTGCTCACAGCGGCTCCTCTTCCTTGCTCCTGATTTACATTGAAATGAGCAAATAAACCTCAGAGCCTTTCCTGCAGTCGCTGTGTGTGTATTTATGTGAAAGTTCTCAGACAGAACATCTCTCGCGGCTATTGTCACGACTCCAGCAAATAATCAAGTCTCTACTGTTTCATACAAGCCTTGTATTTGTGGACATTTCCCTGCTGAAACAGAGATCCATCATGTGTCAATGTGTTGTGCGAGTATCCATGGCAACGCCATCACTCACAGTGAAAACGTTGCTGCCTTTATGAAATGAAAGCGTGATTAGGAGGTAAATTAAATCGAAATGGAATTGATTGAGATCATAGTTACGTCAATAGAGCACTTAGAAAAAGATTATATCTTTGTCTAATACTGAATTAAAGTCATGATAATATCATGTATTTATCTAAAGACTTTATTTAACCCTGAATGTCCTACTGCGATTTGGGATTCAGTGGGGTCAGGGCGGGTGTTACAGGGAAAGATTCTACATATTTTGTAAATGGGTTATCTGTTGCCTCTGAGCAGTGACGCACAGACCCTCTCCCCTGTCTCCTCCTGGTTAGACGGCTGGAGGCATACTAAACAGATGCCCCTGAGCCACCTCAAATTGCTCCTCTCGACATGGAGAAGCAGCAGCTCTACTCTGAGCTCCTGTGTGACTGAGCTCCTCGCCTTAACTTATGTAGACCACTTGATCTCGTCCTTTTGGTCATTACCCAAAGCTCATGACCAGAGGTGAGAGTGGGAACCTTATTGTGACACGCCAACATTGAACATGAACAAATACCTGAGCAGCCTGTTGTCGATTCTCAAAGGGCAGATTGTGTACGGGACTTTGAGGCTGTGACAGAACAGAGCCAAGGCGACAAGTGTGCAGTCCAGGGCGCTTTGCCGCACGTGCACATAGACCAGCGGAGATCCCTGGTCCACAAAGCACAGAGGAGCACACAATAGGAACTATACAAAATGAAAAACAGCAAACAAGGTCATATGAAGCACTCAGAAATGTTTACAATGGAGTTAACAAGCACAGTTTTAAGAGGACAAAAACAGAAATATAATGGCAATCCTTCCTGCGTTTGCGTGCCATTTCTCCCCCTTTTCTCTTGGCAACAAAAGTGCATCAGAAAAGGGCATATTTAGTCAACCATGTAATTAATGAACATGAACATTAATTGAACGGTAAGGTTGTAGAAAAAGCCCACTCAAGCAGAAGATTTACAGCTCCTATAGGGAGCAGCCCGGGGAATTATGTGTTGTACAAAGTTGCAGAACTTTTTTCCCGCATACCGAGTTGTGTCTATAGTGTTTGTTTTTACCTCTTGCGAGGCCTTGTGCAACGCCAGCAGATGGTTGAGGTTAACTTGGACGCTCCCGAAAGCAGACGAGAGCATCTTCAAAAGACACCAGCCCGCAAATCTGAACAAAAAATGCAGAATCAAACTTTAGGAGCAAGTTTCAAGGTAAATTAGAAAGATGGATAACCCGCCTTGGGGAATAGAGGACTTCAAGGAGTTATTTCTTGCCGACGACAGGGTGCTTGCTCTTTTTCCAAATTAAAATTCCAGACTTTTTCCGCACTTTTTTAAAACTGATATTTTTTTCCCAAGACCTTAACTTTATGTACTTGTATACTTGTGTGCCTACCGCCTAATTTATTGGTTGAGATTGTACCAACTGTGTTTATTAGAAATGTTAATTTTTTTAACCATACATTTTTCCCCCCAGGACTAGAACCTGGGGGTGATAGCATTTGAATGAAGTGAAGAAGGAGGAAGAAGGATAGTGGGGGATGGAGAGATATGTATTCAAACCGAACAACACTAAATATTTTCTTTAAACATGAGCTTTGTGGATCTTTCTGCTGCACCTTCACATTTCTACAGCTGCTGACACAAGAAAAACAACTTTATTGATATGTCTGTTTTCAATTCCATATTAAGGATTCTAGAGGGAGAGGGTACTTTTTGAATTTGGAATTCTCTTTGGAAAATTGTGCAAACCAAACCAATGCTGCATGAGATCTTAGCCCTAAGGAATGGGAGTCAATGGAGTATATTCAGTGAAAGACGGCTCCAAGACTGAATACAAAAACCGCTCACAAGATTGTTGGCAACTGTGACTGACATCCATGTGTGAGCAGAAACTCCTGATGCCAAGTGCTTTCCACTTGTTAAAGACGCTCGGAGTAAGTCAAAGTGAGACGCTAGGAGCAAGATACAAAAACACTGCTCTTCATTGGCAAGAGTGTGTCTCTGTATTTTACATTTACTGTTATGGGGAGATATTGTTTTGTAATGTCTGAAATGTCTCGAACACAATCATAGAAATGTTGACTCGAGGGTGATTTTCCATTGCATTTTAATGTATGTATCGTTATAATGGTAAAGTGGCTGGAAATGGCTGTTTTTGGCTGTTCTTTTCAACTAATATTAATCAAACAAACTGACATTTTTAAGTTGACTTTCAGAACTAGGTTGCAACAGCAATTAGAGAAACTGAGTGCTCTAATTTTCCTTCTATTCTGCTTTAATGTGCACAACTATGACATTGAAAATTCCCCATTGAGGTGCAATTAAAGGTTTATCTCATCTTATCTTAAGAACTGGGTTGCATTCATGTTGTATCATTATTTGATAGTAATTAGTTTCACAAACCCGTCATAGTAATCTTATTTCTAAAAGAAATTTCTACTGGCCAACACTATGCATGTGTGTTTGAAAACTGTCACCACTTCATACACCTTTATGAGAAAATAATTAAAATAAGGTTTCTATGTAGTGACAAAGAGGATGTTGAACTTTGTGACAGTTTTTGTTTCATGCAGATTTGCCCAGGAATGACAGAGAAATTAGCTTTAAACTAAGACTATAATCTGACTTTTGACTGTTACCAGTTATCAGTACAGATCTTTCAGCTGCCCTCCACCACAATGTTAAACTATACTGCTGTGATGTCACATGACCGCAATCCACTACAGTGATTATGATCCGAGTGCAGCTCATTACTCAAAATGTGCTTCTACCTTTAAAATTATAATAGCATTTTGTGATGTCTTGATCATCTTACTTTTGCGCATTGCTTTAGCTCCAACTGCAGCAGTTTAAAAGAGAATAGCCTTTAGCAAAGATTGAGGAGGAAAGAGTTTTCTCACTAACACACACACACAAACAAACACACACCCATGCACACACACACCAACACGTACCGCACAAGTCCGGAGGAAATACAGGTGTTAATGAGGGGGAGGAAATTTGAAAGGCGGGTTGCGTCTCCTGCCCGTTCTGCCTGTGGCTCCGCAGCTAGCGCCTCCTTCACCCTTCAACACAAGTCACAGGACAGCAGCTTTACCCCTCCATAAAGCCCCCTTTGTGCAGTACACGCTCACAAGCACATTAATAAGACAACGGCAGCTTAAGCAAGAGGTTACATAAAGGTTAAACTGGATAGCTAGAGGAAAAAAAACTCCCTTCCAAGTCAGTTTTAACACCATCGCTTCAAATAGTTTTATTCCTGTCCAAAAGGTATACTTAGTTTTTAATTAATAATGAACTTGATTTATGACCGGGGGGGACAGAGCCTTTCTCCGACCTAGAGAAGTCTTTGCCCAAACACTCACTCATCCACACTCGCAATCTTCAGAAAAATCACCTTCCAATAATATTTGAGCGTTAATATTTTCCTGTGTTTTGTCTCACTTGAACTGTATGTTTATTATGTGTCAAGAAAAGAAATATATCATTCTTGTGTATTATTATCATTATCAAGGCATGTTCCATTTTCTACAGTAGTGCAAGTCATTTATATAGTGCATTTCACAGACCAAGGTCACACAAAGGGTTTTACAATTCACTGTTCAAAAATGGACCGGTTCAAAGCCATTTAAAGCTGGGGTAGCTTTTGAATGATACATACAGTACAGTTTGTCCGACCACAGACTTCAACAGTCATTACCTTTTTTGGAAAACTGGAAAATGATTTGCATATTTGTAAGATAGAGCCCTGTGAGTCACAATTTGACTTCAGGCCGAGTTGATTGGCAATCAATCAATCAATCACAAAGAGAGGATGGTCCTCTCTGTCAATTTTTGGTCTGAAAAATCAGACTTGAAAGGTGCGACAGATACAAATATCAAAAAACTGTTTTGAGAGCGAGGAACCATCTGTTTTATTAAGTGCTTTTTGAACTGTAGCTACAGCTGCCCTGGGGTACACTGACAGAAGTGAGGCCCGTATGTGCCATCGGCCCCCCCAGGCCATCAGCTTCAGTCTGACGGTCTCTGGCTTTCACATGCAGAGGGTGCCAGTTAAAAGCTAACAGATGTAATAATACTATTGTCCTTTATAAATTAATGTATTTTATGTAATTGCTGCACAGGGCAGTACGGTGGCTGAGTGGATAGCACTCTCGCTTCTCAGCAAGAAGGTCCTGGGTTCGAATCCCAGTCATGTCAGGGCCTTTCTGAGTGGAGTTTGCATGTCCCTGTGTCTGCATAGGTTTCCTCCGGGTGCTCCGGTTTCCCCTATCACTAAAAACGTGTATAATAGTTCTGGCATGTGCCTCCTTTACTGGCGACCCTGCTCCCATCTCTGTGTGGAGTGAGAGACAAAATGCCCACAACAATTGTAAAGCGCTTTGTGACTCAAATAAAGAATACTTTCTTTCTTACAGTTCTAAAACCCAGCTTTATATTTCCCTGATTTACAAACTGTTGGTACCTGTTGCTTTGATAAACCCGCTCCGCTCGGTTGGTGATGGGACTTGGGAAAACTTTGCAGTTGCTCACAAACAGAACACAGCACAGTCTGCGAACGAGCCAGCCTCGATATCTGCGGATACCAAGAGTTTACGGTGAGTGCTCCATCTACAGAAGGGAGTGTGAACGGCTGATGAATTATGCAAAACACTTAGAAAGATTTGTAGTGTCCACTTACGATAACTAGTTGTTTCAATATCTAGTCGTATATTTGACCGATGGTTTTTTAGTTGACTAAATGCAGTATTTTTAGAATAGGGCTAAGTCAGGTTTTGCGAATGTAGTTTGCGTAAGACAGATTCAGAGTATTTGACTTTCTATTCGACTAACAGATCGGCAGGCTTGTGTTGTATTATTATGAATTTATGCATTATTTACTTTAAGTCCAAACTTCAAATTGCACTGAAGTTATATAGTATATTGTATTGTTTTTTGTGCATTTTCACTGTGCATGTCCAAACACAGCTGTATTTACTGAGAGCACAGCCACTGGCAGACACAAAATACGCAACAAGAATATTTTTTTCCAAACGAAACACGCAGTGATGCAGCTTTCAGTCAAAATACAGAGAAATTATGCTTGTTTGAATGGTCTTAGACAGTAGATGAGAAACACGTACACAGAGCACACATTATAAGGAAGGCTGGCAGGTGTGACAGGTTTTTCCATAAAATTGACCAAACCAGCCCACAGACACCATAAGGACAAACACATACATCTGAATTGTGCTTGTATATAGCAGCTCTCTTGGCGGTTCTGTCCTCTACACTACACCAGCAGAAGCCGCTCCCGGTGTTTCATACGTGCCTCATTTACACTGAAAGGCCTGTGGCTTTTGTGGCTTTTTGTGTGTAGGGAATGTGTGGAATCTGACCTGCAGGTTGTGGACTTTGAACCTCTGTTATATCTGTATACATTATTATCTCAAGACTGAACGGCTTTGTTCTGACCCACATTGCTCCTCGTGTCAATATCTTAAAGTAGTACTAGAATTTAATATGCTGCTATCCAGAATATATAACTACAATATGTGTTTATAATATTTCGGGTGTTCATTTTGACATGTTCAGATGAATTATGTAAAAAAAAAACGGCTTTGAAGTTGCACCTTTTCACAAACGCTAGGGGGCGCCAAAATGGCGGCGATGACGTAGGAGGAGGGCATCTCACAGGAGCAGACAGCAGTCTTGGCTGGAATCTGTAGGAGGTTTCACTGTCATCTGAACAAGGTATGAACATTTTTTCATCAGTTTTGTACATAATAGTGTGCAACACTTTTAACCTTTTAGCCTTATTTGTGAGATTCAAGCTAATTATTGTTGGGCAAGTTAGCTACTTGAAATCAAGATATCCTAAAACATACTAATATTCGTTTTTACATTATGCCAGGCTCACTTTGGTTGCCTTAGATTTATTTACCACAATGTACATTGTAATATCCAAAAATGCTAATCAAAATAACTTGAATTAAATAACAATTTTACTTTTATGAACAAAAAGCTGCTGAAGTTGATAGGTGTTAGCATTTATGGATATTACAATGTACATTGTGGTAAATAAATCAAAGGCATAATATAAAAACGAATATTAGCCTTGTAAGCATGTTTTATGATATCAAGTAGAGTTAGCTAACTTGCCCAACACTAATTAGCTTGAATCTCACAAATAAGGCTAAAAGGTTAAAAGAGTTGCACACTATTATGTACAAAACTGATGAAAATATGTTTATACCTTGTTCAGATGACAGTGAAACCTCAGATTCTTCCCCAGATTCAACATCAATTAACTCGCTGTTCCCACAGATTCCAGCCAAGACTGCTGCTGCTGCTGTGAGGGATCATTCTCCTACGTCATCGCTGCCATTTTGGCCCCCCCTAGCGTTTCTAAGCGGAAGTGAAAAAGTGCGACTTCAAAGCAGTTTTTTAAACATACTTCATCTGAACATGTCAAAATGAACACCCGAAATATTGTAAACACATTTTGTAGTTATATATTCTGGATAGCAGCATATTAAATTCTAGTACTTTCTTTTAGAATCGGCATCAATAATATCTCAATGAATGACGTCTGTCGTCATGTACCTTGCTACAAATCAGATAAAGGGGTTTTTGTCTCCTTTTGTTTTATCGGGAAGAATTGAAAATAAGCCAAGGGTTCCAAGTGCGTCATTTTGCAACAAATGCTAAACTTAGATGTTAGTTGTAAATGCCTAAATGCATTCTGTGTTTACTTTGTGATTGTTTTTGTGAGTTTGTAAGCGCAAAGCACTTTTAGTTGTAAAAAGCTGCGTAATTATAGAATTCGAATTATACCTGGTGTGTTTCTCGTTGATTTTCAAAATGTTGCGGAAACCACCCAAAGAATTCTGCTCGAGTTTGTTGCGCTGAAAGCAAAACATGCATAATGGATAATTGTAGCACATAACAGACAGGTGATGAATGTTTAGATGGGACTCACCAGGCTCTCCGGAGTGCACTGATGACAGCACAGGCCTACGGTGGGTCTGAGCATACCCAAACACGGGGAAACAATTTTAGTTTTTCTCTTGATTTTCAAACCCCATGACACCTGCACACAACGACACACAACGTAATGATACCAACAATTAAGGTCAGAAGAAAATCTGCAATTCCCAAGAGAAAAGGTAAACAAGCGTTGATGTGCTTTCAAAAGAACAATGAGTAAGAAGACAAACGGTACTATATAAAAGTTGCATCAGATTCTCCTGATAGGTTAGAGCCATTCGTCGTGCAATAAAGTGTTCCATTAAGAATGTTAATGACTGTTATATAATCACTTACATCATGTCAAGGCATAACCAGAAGGACCGGGATAATGAAGTGCAGTATTGAGTGTGGATCTGCAGCCTGGTTATCATGGCAGGACAAATCACCGGGAGAATGGACAGTATGTTTCCCCCCCAGACCCTTAGGATGAAATTGGACAGTAATGGCTCAGACACAGGATTATTTGGCTGATTTCTATCCTCCTGAGCGATTTCTGTGCCGCTGTGCTACTGCAATGTCAAAATTAATTCTATCCTGGTCAAGAAGCATCAACAAACACAATCCTTGAACACAGTCATAATAAAAACCTTGAACAATAAAATTTAGCCATGTGGATTTTCTTTGTCTGGTAAATAATATTTGAATGGTTTTTAGAGTTTTTTTGTTGCTGATGGAGGACAGTGGCGATGATCCAGGACCGATGACATTTATGGACATTGGTCATCTGCCCCTTATGGACCAAAGGCTTTATGTGGTTTTTCATCATTGCATTTACTGTGCTTGAACCGTTTGATTCTCTGATCTGTGTTGGTGAATCGACAGCTTTGTAAATACCTCCAACATAACTAAACTGCTACAAGTGCAGAAAGTGCCGCGATAAGTTCAGTGTGCTTGGTATTACAGATTCATATGGTTTTATAGAGACCGTGTGGACACCAAGTCAAACTCTAAAAATCGTAATTTTACCTTTTCTGACCAATCAACAATGTATAAGATGGACAAATTATTTAAAAGACATATTAAGCATATGTACTTTTAAAAAACTTGTTGTCCATGTCTCAACATTGCTGCCTCATAAGTCACAGTGTCACAGACCTGGAGTTGTTTTTAGATCCCTCCACGCTAATATCAGGAACGTCTGACACGCATATGAGGAAGTGTGCAGTATCTCTTCTCATTTATGTGTGCAGGTTTTTTTATTTTTATAAATTGACTTGAATGGAAGTAGCTAAAAAATAGCTGCAACAAAATGAACTGGATAAATAATTACTGACGACATTTAACAAAAACAGTAAAAAGCAAACAACATTTCAGGTTTATTCATTTTTTTCTTCATTAATATAGCACAATCGGAGCTACTATCAGTATGAAAACACACTATTATTCACTTAGGGGAGAATGCAGAGGTGGCCAGTGCAGCTCAATTGAATAATTTATAGTTATTTCTTAAATGAGGTATAAATGGGATTTCCCGCTGATTATATAGTTAAGACAAAATGGCCTAATGAGTGTTGTAAATCAATATCCTTTGCCCCTGATGGTGATAAATTACAGGATCGTCAAGCAGCTGGTACGATCAATTCCGGGAGAGAGAAGTGGAATCATTTCTACTCTTTTGTCTCTTTGCAATTCACGTGTTGGCATTTTGTATCAACCAATTGTGTGACTTTCGTGACATTGAAATGATACATCGAGGCACTGTTTTTAACTGATCCTGAAGATAGACTCTGGCCCCACGACAATTGCGTGTAAACTTATGGAATGTCAAGATGCCGTCGATTGACAAGAGCCTAAGATAGAATGTATTACGGTCTACTGTCTAGACGTTTACTCAGTAGTCTGTATGTTCGATTAGGCTCTATAGTGGAAGTTTTCATCCAGACTCCCAGTCAGAAATGAAGCATCTGAATTGTTTACAATACTATCTACAGTCAGAAAAATGACCTTTCTCAATACTCTGGCAAAGAGCCAATAAAAACAGGAGAACTAAATTATGTCTTTTCAAGGCCAAGTGTGTGGGTAAACTGTATGTATCAAGGCTTGTTATAATAACTACAGGTTATAAGAAAATTGTTGTGATAGAGGGTATATACTTACATCAGGTTTGTGTGTTTCGACTGACTTAAGTTCCATTGCGTTTTTGTATCCAGAACTTTAGCAGAGGATGAGGCTGACACTATCAGAGGAAAGACAGAAGAAAAATGTATAATGAACAGTAGACATGATACATACAGCATTAGGAGGGCACCAACATTGAGAAATATAAATATTGGGAAGAAGAACATCGAAATTGTCTGAGATAGCTCTCCTGTAATGACAGTAAAAGCTCTCTGGCCCTTTATAAGTCCTGTAGCACCTGTACAGAAGTCACATCAGTAAAATCAACTTCAGTCTTCATTGGGGATCAAAACTTCAAGAAGTGACAAGGTTAAAGACATTCCTACAAAAGGTATTAAGCTAATATGTAGATAGGATTTACGGATTCTCCAACCACATGTTCAGTTTGGCAATACTATCTTATTTTGAGTTTTAAAAAAAACAGAGTGGTTAGTGTAAGACGAGAGCATGGTGAATAGATCAGTGTCACAGAGCTGATTTACCCTTTTATCTCTCAAAATAAAACAAATTTAACAAAAAAACAAATTCATTGGTCCATAAAGTCATCAAGCATTATTCAAAAGCATCTGAGCTGATCTCCTTTGTTGGCAAAAGGAGAACCACCAGAAGAACCTTGATCGAGGAGAGATCCCATTGATGGACAGGCTGTTGCCAAGTCCAGGACTAAGACTGTAGTCTAGGACTGAGGCTATAGCTGAGTCAAGGACTGAGTAAGTAGTCCACGATTGAGGCGGTAGTAAATGACTAGGCAGTAGTCCAAGACTCAGTCTTGGACTACTGCCTAGTCATTTACTGTTGTTAATCCAGGACTGAGGCTGCAGATCCAGAACTGAGGCTGTGGATCCACGACTGAGGCTGTGGATCCACGACTGAGGCTGCGGATCCAGGACTGAGGCTGTAGATCCAGGACTGAGGCAGTTGAGGAGTCCAGGACTGATGCAGAGGAAGAAAAGCAACAAAATGATAGCACATGGGAGCTGAGTCCATAAAAAAAAAAATCTTAAAGCTGAATTATTCCATTCATATCCCTTTGTTCAGCGTATGCAAAACCGTATCTTATTATCTGTAATGTTGTATAATATATAATAATAGATTCAAGTCTGTAATTATCAAGTGTTTTATTTCAACTGAGAAATCCCTGTTACAAAAACGATTTTAGTTTGGGGTTGGTGGCGTGCTCATCTATCATAAAATGCCCAAAGCTACCATTTCTACCCCCTAACAGTTTCACACTGTAACTAAAGCCCAGTCCCATTTCTCTAACTTGTTCTGAGAACACTCGCTATGAGTTCCCTCCACAGTAGAGTCCCCTCAATGAGGGAAGTGCAAGTGAAGAATTTCCCCTAAGAATTGGGACATGACTAGTTTCAAAATTTCACCCCAGTCCAGTAGATGGCGGTAATACACATTGCCTGTACACCTCAGTAACGTCACGTGTTCTCCTGTGTCATGCATAAACAAGAGTCACAAGCAGCGGTGTATTTTCATCGAGTGTTTGTACAGGTTTGGAAATGCCGGCTCCAGTAGTTATTTTACCCATTGCGTGGGCGTTGATGACCTTTCTTCGTGTGGCCAACAAACGGAGAAGAAATGGGCAAAACCGAAGACGACTTCGCCGCTATTTTGCCCTGATTAATCTGTTTACGGTACGTGGACTCATTTATTATGACGCTATCCGTATGCTGCTAGCGTACTACCTGTTATTGGTTTCGATAAAATGCCAACTTACTTATAATGTATGTTAATTTTTTCACAAATGGGTACAGCCTTTGGGTCATTAACCGGTTACGCGATGAGAAAGTAAACAAACAGGAGAAAATTCCACCTCACACCTGAAGCTTACAAAACGTTCCCTGTATCCCCAAAACCCAATTTTTTTGTTTTTTTGAAGGAATGCCAACTCGCAGTTATGATCATATTTAAAAAAGAAAAAGACAACTGTGATGTATAATTGTCAGGATGCATAAAAAAACAGTAAAAGCTGTCTTTTATTTACTATGTTTATGTCTAAATGCTTGTTTTTTACCTATTGTGTTCCAGAGTGGCCGTGCACTAACCTACTGTAGGATGGACAGGAATGTACCCATCCTGCGCTTGTGGTTTGACGTGGAGTTGGAACTCATCCGGGACTTCAGACTGAGTAGGAAGGCCATGCATGCCCTGCAGTGTCTGCTGAGGAGAGAACAGGACCACGGCTGGGGCCATGAGCTAGAAGTTCTAATCTACGTTTACTGGCTTGCCCATGGTCTGTCCTACCGTGTGGTGTCACATGTTTTTAATATTCCCAGGTCCACCATCCATAGAATAGTCCACAAGGTTGCACAGTTTATTTGGGACAATTTGAACAGGGCAATATCATTTCCAAGCCCGGCAAATCTTGACACCGTGGGTCATGGATTTGAGCAACTTTCTGGGACACCCATCCTCAAAAAAGCTGTTGGTGCCATTGATGGTTGCCACATTCGGATCAAGCCCCCATCACTCCATAGACTGGACTATTTGAATTACAAAGGGTTCTACTCAATAAACATGCAGGCAATTTGTGACTCCTTGGGAAAGTTCCTTGATATTTTTGTGGGATATCCAGGGTCTGTTCATGACACACGCATTTTAAAGAGCAGCTCTTTTTACATTGCAAGAAGGTATCCTCCAACTGGGTACTTCATTCTGGGTGATGGAGGATACCCGTGTTTGGAAACCCCAGTCTGCCTCATTACTCCCTACAGGGAACCGGTGAATGGCAGAGCGCAACAGAGGTTCAACTACCACCAGTCAAAGGGGCGTTCAATTATTGAAAGAGCCTTTGGCATAATGAAAACTCGGTGGAGATCCACACTTTTCAAGGCCCTGGAAGTCAAGCCTACATTTGCACCCCAAGTAATAGCGTCCTGTGCCTTTCTGCATAATGTTTGCTTGGATAACGGAGACATCTTGGAGCCTGATCAGGATGTGGCCGGGGACAACATGGACCCAGAACTGCCGTTACAAGAACTCCCTGACCCAAATGTAACACCAGGGAATGCCACAAGGGACAGACTCGCTGGCCTGATTTGATAAACAAGGCCCTCACTGAAAAAAATCCTTGCAAAACTTGTAAATAGTTATGTTCAAGCACATATCTGACCTGTGTGTTATGTGGGTGTATATAGTTACTGTAAGTGTTGTATATTGTTGCTGTGGTTCATGTTTCTACATTTGATTAAACTTATTTTGTACAATACCTTGGTAGTTTGTTTTATAATGACGTGACATACTGTATGAATGTGTATGATGCCCGGTCAAAAAACAACCACCAAGCACTTTGATTTATATAAATATTTGTATTCAGAAAGATGAACTCACATTTGACATAACTAAAACAATGTATAGAAAAATATCACAAATATAGAACAATATTTGAATTAAATAAAAAAAACATCAAAATAAGCTTAAAAGAAACGTATTGCACATGAACATGAACGAGGGAAAACCACCACAGCTCTCACTGCTCAGGCATTTTCTCCACAAGCTTTTCGAACAAACTGAGGAACCTCTCTGTTTTGGACTCAGTTTCCTCGTGCCTTTTTTGCTCCTTCACAGACTCTTGTTTGAAGAACTCAAGGACAGCATTATTGACTCTTCTAGCCCTTTTTTTGGGAGATGGGGTGGTGGGTGCTTTAGGACCTGGTGGGGAAGAAGTAGACGGGCCTGCCCGTGTGGCTGGCATCGGTGTTGGCGGGGCTGTGTCTGCAGTAGTGGAAGATGGATCCGGCTCCTCCATGGGAGGTTCAACAATGGCCTAGAGATTTGAATAACAAAAATAAATTAATGCATGCTGAAGTCACAGCACAACAACAACTTTGTATAGACCTTTATGCTCTGTGATATACTAGTGTATTTTAAGAAAGTTATTGGTCAATTCAATTCCTCCTCCTGTAAACTTACCATTAGTAATTCTGTCGGACCAGGTTGGGTAAATGAAGCTACCAATACTGGTGGGTCAATAGATGGCCTGCCCCCCAGAACTGCATGCATGTCCTCGTAGAACTTCCAGTTGGATGCCGTTTGCTCCCCATCTGCTGTGCCTGATCCTGTCTTGGGCAATTTCAGCATCTGCAATAACAACCACCCCAAACACACAAACACAGTCACATAAAACAGTTATTAATTAATTATGTGACATCTGACGGGATGGGTTATTTAGCCTAGATGATGAAGATGATAACATGGGACATGGGATAACATTACCTTGTACTTCGTTTTCAAGTTTTCCCACTTTTTTGCTGCTTGTTGGCCATTGATTTTACCCGTCAGGCCGATCTCAATGACTGCTGTCCTATAGGGATGAACATAAGGGTGGGTTAATGCATTATCAGAATGTGACTGTTAAACAGCAGGTTAGGCTACTCACTCCCAGAGTTGCTTTGTGGTATACTTCTTTTTTGTGAACTGCTCTTCATTGTCAGCCCTGAACTTAATTAGGGCTTTGGTCTGCTCCACAGTCCCTGAAACATTAGCCCACATGACCACATTAGACACAAGTTGCTCGCCAATAGGTTGCATTCATGTGCTAGAATTCTTTTTCAGGTGGAGGGCAGGGGCCAATTGGGAGACAGACAGTTTTTTGAAGGAAATTTCCAAAAAGAAAATTTGCAAATTTAAATTACTTGTGAATTATTTGATAGTGAATGGATGCACAAACCTCACATATTATTCTAATGGCTGTAAGAGCTTTCTGTTGGCCAGCATCACACATATGCTTTTGAATACTGTCTCCACTTATTTATGAGAAGATAATTATAGCTTATTTCATATGTGCTGACACATGACATAAGACATTGGACTTTTCACTATATAACAATATTGCTCATGAAACAAGCTGAAAAATCATGCCTTTTGACAATAGTCAGCACGGAATGCTACCTTCCCTCCACCTCAATTGATAGGCTTGTCCACAATCTATTGTGAATATTACAGGACGAAACAGTGTGCAGTAAACAAGCACGATGACAATTATGCATCCCAGCTATGCTAGTGACCGCGGATATAAACGCATGACTCCTTAAGATAGAAATGGGGATAATTTTGTTAAAAGCTGTCATGCATAATCATCCTACTTTACGTGTCTAGAAATAAAAATAGCTGTCTCGGTAGATTTGTGCAATGTGAAAATTAGCGATTTTGCAAAATTCATGTTTTAACACAGCGGTACAGAATTCAATTGTATTTACGTCTAACTAATATATCCCAACATATTTTTTGGAAAACGTGTGCTTAATTGTAAAACTATACTTACATTTGTGCGATTCTTTGCCACCGCCTGCCGCCATCTTTCTTTTCGCCGTATGAGTTTGCAAAGAATTCTGGGAAGCCACTTCGTCCCAAGTCAGGTCCGGACCTCCCTCCGTCTGAAGGGATCATTTCAAGGGTTGAAGTGCACTTCTCCCTAGGTCTTCAAAGTATTGGGACACACTACCCTTAAACGTGAACGCGCATAACCGAGTGCTAGGGTCTAAAACGAGTGCAAGTGAGAGAAATGGGACGGGGCCCTAAGTTTTCAATTTGTTCACTGGAGAGCAGAGAAGTTTGGTTTCCTTCAGTCCACTTCACTGCTGTGCTCGCCCCGGGCCAAATTGGAAACGCTGAGTGCTTACTTTTTGCATGCAATTGAACGCACCGGGTATTGGTATTATGAGTTTAGAAGAAGTGGTAACCTACGGCTGTCTTTTCAGTAACACGAGTCAAGAAGAGTTGACAGCGGCTGCAGTCAAAACGGTTCGCAGCGGATAATGGCTCATATTTGAATAGTACCTTGTGAATAATCAGGGCGCTAAGGTTAAGTGCCCATCGCAAGAGCTGGGTCAAGATGGCCTGTATGGATCAGTATCTCTTTATTCAAGGCAGGAACAAACGTGTTGTAATCCCGAGGTCTTTTTATTTTTTTTGCGGTTATTCTCATTGCATGCGTGTCTCAACAGGTCATCACCACTGCTAATTAAAATCCAAGTTCACCCCATGAGGAGAGGGTCTTTCTTGTTGCGCGCAAATTCCCACATTAATTAGCACGTCCAATGGGAACAAACGCAGATAAAAAAAGGTTCACATTTCTCGGTGAAGGATACAATGTGCAGGGGAACACAGATGAGAGAATAGTGTTCAGGTAGAAATTACACAGCGACGGTTTTCGGCAGAGCGAGTTACACACTTATATAAGCCACTCCAGTGAGAATACAAGACCGCAGACGAGCAGCCACGAAGCCAAGGCCAGAGAATATTTCCTGTAGTCAGCGACATGAACGGTGAAACTCACAAGATTAAACACGCCTCATCTGTTGAAATGGAAATCGACGACAAATTACAAAACAAATTATATTTTGATTTGCTATCTAATAATTATGTCATTAGTGTCTGGGGTTGCAGCGGATAAAATTAAAATCTAATCCATTTATTCATTATACATGAATGAACATGAGACAAGTGCATAAATAATAATCGCCCCAAAAAACAAGCTCAGAAAAATCCATTTATCTAGTTCCTCGCTATCAAAACAGTTTGCTTCTTGTATTTTGTGGCCTCATCTTTTACCCTCAGCTTTCAGCCAAAAGCCGTCAAATATGACTCAACGTATGTAAAAAGATCCCAGTACAGGAAGGTGGCAATGTTGTTGTCTGATTTTTTATTCACATATTATTTTTAACCATGCTCTTAGACAGAAAGCATCGTATAATAATCAAACATTAAAAACGTGGTTACCCAGGAAGACTAAGCAACTCACTTGGGAAGGATGTTGATAAGATAAATAAGTGAACAAAGAAATAAAACTTCAGTGCCCAGGTTTTGCTCAAGCCATTTTTTCCCCATTGCATTAGTTAGCGCCACAGTTAGCGCCACAGTTAGCACCGTTAAAAACCCTTGAAGAGAGAATAATGCAGTGTTGGGAACTGTGTACTTACCAAATTTCTCCACCCTAGCTGTAAATGGTGAGGAAAATTTGAGGCCGCCAAAATATCTAGAGGTAACTGGTCACCTGCACACTACAGGGCTGTTCATTAGAAGTGTGATAGTCGGAGCAAAGCACTGGGACAAGACAAAAGGTCAAATTCTGCCCCTAGTGACAAAAACAAGGACTCACATCATGAAGTCTGCCCTCACCTAAACACAAATACACCTCATTGTTTTGAATGGAAATCTACAACAAATTACAATACACATCCTATTTTGATTTGTGTGTGACTTTTTGCCATTAACAGACTTAAACACTTGCGAGCCGGTTTGCATCCCCACAAAATTTGTCTTAAAAAAGGCACTTTGGTTGAGTTTCTTTTATACAATAAAAATAATAATCTTAAAAAAATGATATATGTGTGTGCATATATTCATTTACATACTTACTGCAGTTATCAAGTATTTAAAGCAACTGGTCACTACTTACTACTGCCCTGTCTGTGCGCTGCAACACCAACATTTCCCCACATTGGGAGGTGTAAAGGTTTTATTTTTAAGCAGTACAAGCTTTTTTTATTCTCTTTGTGTAAATAGAAGACCATTCTAGCCCTAAACATTTAATAAAGAACCACGAGAGTCGTAGATTATCATAGGAAACAGAATTGTCCCCTTTCACAAGATAAACAGCCTGAATATTAGTCAAACATTTATGCTTGGAAAATATATAATGTCTTAATGGTTTTCAATTTAAACTACTTCCGACCCAGGGTAATAGCACTCTCCATCTGTAACATATGTTGTAATTAAAAGCTGCATTGCTCCAGTGTTCTTGGACTAAGAGCCTGTTCACACAATCATGGAAAGAGGTTTGTGCAGATATAGCAGATGGATCCATAGCTCCAGCGGGACTTCAGGCAAGATGAGTTTTAATCCCGAGTTTTTACAGCAACTGTTCAGAAAATAACAAAAAGACGTTCGCAGTTGCACTTGCTGAGTCCATCGTTTCACAGGGCAAATACAAAAATCAATTGTTTATATCAAGTCTTCTGCGTCATGCACCAGTAAAGCGTCATTGATTTGGAAGAACAAAAGGAATGCAATAGAGTTTATTCGCTTAAAAATTGCTGCAGCCCTTTTCACAAAGTCTATAAAAATCTACTTTTTTCACATGATTTGTGAATTGTTAAAAAGTCCAGGGCCGGAGAGTCAATGATGCTTTACTTTAAGATGCCGTCAATGATTTATCCAGGCGCCATTTTTTTTAAATACCTAAACCCTAAAAGTAGTTATCATACGTTTTCAAATATGAATGGACATGACCAAAACATCAAAAAATAAATGTAATGCAACGGCAGCCAAGTTTTGCTAATTGCTAGTTTGTCACTGGAAGCTAGCACTTTTCAAGTATGCTTTTCAAGTAAACCAAAATAGAAGTTATTGGTAAAAACTCAACATTGGGGTGGAAACATCATGCTTTGGGGCTATTTTTCTGCAAAGGGACCAGGATGACTGATCTGTGTTAAGGAAAGAATGAATGGGGCCATGTATCGTGAGATTTTGAATGAAAACCTCCTTCCATCAGCACATTGAAGATGAAACGTGGCTGGGTCTTTCAGCATGACAATAATCCCAAACACACCATTCGGGCAACAAAGGAGTGGCTTTGTAAGAAGCATTTCAAGGTCCTGGAGTGGCCTAGCCAGTCTCCAGATCTCAACCCCATAGAAAATCTTTGGAGGAAGTTGAAAGTCTGTGTTGCCCGGCGACAGCCCCAAAACATCAATGCTCTAGAGATCTGTAAGTAGTAGTAATCTTCATTTATATACAGCCTTTTCACTGCAGATCTGAGTCTCAAAGC